GCCGCCGCTCCGCTCCCCCCCCTCCCCTCCCCTCCCCCTCCCCCACCCGACCCATCACCCCACCCGCTCGTCAACGGCCTCGGCGAGGAAGGTCCTCGAGGATGTCCCGCGCGTCAAGTGGCCCCGGTATTTGTATTTTCCTTTGAAAGAAGTGTAGCGTGTGGCGGCGAAATCAATCGGGTGACGAGGAGCGGCTTCTGTGATCGAGAGCGACGCGATCGTTTCGGTCTCTCTTCTTCGGCAGAGGAAAAAAAAACAGCGGAAAAGGGCGGAAAATTTGTCAGGAATAATCGTGGCATGCGCGTGGTAGGTAATTGATTTGACGATGGCGAGATGGGCCGGTCCGAGTTATTTGGGAGGACGCGGTGCACTGACTGCCACGGTGTCCCGTTGGTCCGAGGGAGAGGAGCGACGAAGCCGAGCTTTCCATGATCGTCGGGAGTGCAAGCAGCGGCCGGTCGCTATTGCACTTTATAGCGGCGCGAGGGACGGGGTGGAGCTGGTGAGCGATTCCCTTATCTCATAATGGCGCTTGGCTGTTGTTTAATGGCTTCCGGGCACTGAATGCGCCCGCAAGAATAGCGGCGGAGCCAACTTGCAGACGTAAAGTCGTCGTGGCTGGATCATGAGGAGGAGAGACGAGAGTCGGTTTTGATGGCGTAGCCCAAGGATACCAATCCGTATTCGTCGGAGAAGAGGGAAGTCGGTACCGAGCGCGGCGCGATTAAAAACTAATGGCCTCGACTCGTCGTCGGTCCACTAAATTCGTAAATGCATTTTAGAGAAAATTAAGAGTTGTCGAGTGTGTCATTGGCGATGGGATGCGACGTAGGAGCCGCGTTTCGTTTGGGCGTCATTGTCGCCGACTCCAAAGAAAATTCTAATTGATTTTTGTTGGGTAGTGAGTTGGGGGAGGGTGGGGTGGGTGGATCAGCAATGAGTCTTTAAAAGAATCGACTTTGCTTAGACGAGCTGAAACGGAGTTGATCACCACCGAGTCAAACGGAATATTAACGTGCCAACGCATTAACGGCAACGCTATGGCGCAATGAACGTGTAGGACTTTTTGCTGGCAGCTTGTCTGTTCCAAGCTCCTCGCTTCGAACGTCCTTTAGGGCGTTACTTATTGTCTTTGCAGACGCACACGTACGCGAGTTCCATCATCGAACGCTTCAGTCCATTCTATTTCTCGTTTTTTTATTCGAGCCCAAGACTTTTTCTATGTCAAGGCTTTGGCTCGTCGTCTTACCACTGCCGTACGTTCGGCTCATGTAGAGATGGATTTGATATGCAAAAAGTGCAGCTTTTTTCAGCGTCGTACGGGATTTTAAAAAATTTTGTTGTCCCAATCACCATTCAAAAAAAAAAAATCAAATTAGGACTGAATTAATTAATTAATTAATATAAGTCTTATTAGTTATGTAGTGGTGGCATTGTTGTAAAAGATAAAAAAAAGACACTTTGTCGAGTGTAATATCCAAAAATAATTCAACTATATGGAGATTCGAGTCTAGTTTCAAACAGTTTGTATTCGTTCCCTATGCCAAATCTTTCATTTCCAATAATTCATTCCAAATTCATTTCAATATGCCCCTATCTTTTTCATCGGCGATGATAAAATTTGGCCAACAAAATCTAGCAGTCGTAACAGGAAGTGGAAAAAGAAAAGGAAAATGAGAGAAGCGTCACGATTTATTTAAAGCTAGTAAAGTCAATAAGTCGGAGTCCCGTTATTGTAACGCTGTTAGCTGTTAGATATTTGAAATTTGAAGTTATAGTTTACCTTATCGGTTTTAAAGCACCAGCCTTTTATTATTTATGGCCACATACATCCCTGACACTTAACTATATCCGACTTTTATTATTAAATTTTTAATTCAATTTTTCCATCAATTTTCTAGCTGTCCTTTCTTTCTTTCGTGATTAAAAAAATTTTTTTTTTCTTCTTTTTTTTTTGCATTTTTTTTTGCATTTTTTTTTTATCATCATAAAATCTTTTATTTTTCAATCTCGGCACCGAACCCTATTGACTATTCTTTTATCATTCGTCCCATTGTACGAGCAATATTCATTAGCGTGGTGATTTGCCCTTAAGATATCGGATAAAGCATAGAGTTGCTCCGCTTAATTATTTTATAATTAACTTAACTATATTCACCGCTCTCCTTGGCCTTTTTTTCTTCTTTCTTTTCTTTCTTTTCTTTGTTTTCTTTTTTTTTTTTTTTTGTTTTCTTTTTTTTTTTTTTTTTTTTTTTTTTTGTTTTTTTTTTTTTTTTTTTTTTTGTTTTCTTTTTTTTTCTTTTTTTTCTTTTTTTTTAAATCCAAATATTGTTCCAAGCCTTTTTATTTTTGAACACACTCTAAATTTGTTCTCCGGCTTATTATTCAGCCGGTTCGCGCTACGTATAAGAATAATGCCAATAACGTTGTTATACCAGAGTCTCTCGATTACGAGATATTGAAAATTATTATTTAAATTAATAATAGCAACTAACGGAAGAAAATTTCAACGTCAAGTACTTGTTGAAATGAAACTTTTATAATAAATTTTCATGACTGGGAATAATCTGACATATCGCGTGATTATAATTTCTTTTATACGCCGCCATAAAATGTTTCTTATGGCTATTGCATAACGCGCACTATTGGATACACAATAATAAATGTTGAATTGTAAAATTGAGCGAATCATCGAAATAAGTCATTTTAATTAAAAATTTGCTTTTATTTATTTTCAAAATGAAATTATATTACAAACGGGACGTACTTTTATTCAATGAGAAAATCTTATTTCATAGTTCTCTTGTTGTTTGGTGAAAGGGAAATAAAGGAAGAATTGCAGAATCATAATGTTGATATTCTAAAGAGGTATGCGAGCAAGGCCATACCAAAAACGTCTTTATGCATGAATGACTGTTTTGTTTCGTTCGGGGTACTCGTACTCGTACTTTGCACTCGTTGGGTAGAGGCGATGCTCTCCCTCCCACCACTCGATTAATCCGTAGTGTCACCCGTTCTCTCTGCTCTTCCTCCTCCTCCTCCTCGAGCATCGCCGCCGCCACCACCACCACCACCACCACCTCCTACCTCCCACCGAACACTCGTTCTATCCGTCTGTCGCGAGGAGGCAGAAAATAAGAACGAGCACGCGCCTGAGTTGGAGTAAGTAGGAGAAGAACACGGGAGAAAAAAGATGATAAGGAAAAGCGGCTGAATGAAAGAGTAGAAAGATAAACCAGAAGAGAAAGCAGGAAATGAGAGAGAGAGAGAGAGAGAGAGAGAGAGAGAGAGAGAGAGAACATAATAATATAACAAAATGTAAGGCAGAGAGTGGAATAATCTTTTCTAGCAACTAGTAGTAATGCGTAATTATTTCACTTTAGTTTGCTTTTCTTATTTTCTTTGGAAAGCAAATGGTGCAAATGAAAATTCCATAGGCCAAAAGAAAAACTTCGACAAAATGAATTAATCAATAAAATGCAATATTGCAAAGAAGTCGTATTTGACAATAGTTTTTTTATATAGGTAAAGTAAAAAAATTATATATAAACTGTAGTTGGATTCCTAAAAGACACAATAACATAGGTACGTTACTTATGTTGGCCATTAATATCCCTTATCTTATCTCCCTCGTCCTTGCCTTATACTCATGTGTGTATATATTTTTATACATGCACAAGTGCACGTACGAAGGGCAGGCAGATAAGGAAATTTCCACGTGCCCACTACTATCATTAAAATGAAATTAGGCCAACCATGAATTTTCTATTTTCAATTCTTGATTACTTTAGATTATGCAGATGGAAAGTAATTCATCCGTTGAGCTTTTTGCTTTTCTTTAATAATTTTTATCTACTTCAACGATCAATTCTCAATAAAAAAAAATAAATAAATAAAAATATCTTTCGTTTACTTTAGTATACGAGTAAAACCACTTTACTAATCGCACGTACACCTATTCCTATTAGCTGATAATTCAACTAAACATTTCTCTCGAACTTTTAAATTCATTTTTATAAAGCTTGCGTTTCCAAAATAAAAAGTTACTTTAAATTTCACTTTGGACATTAATATTTTATTGTCAGAAGTAATTAATTAAATTTTGCAACTGATTAAAAAATTTATTATCAATTTTTATTATGGCCATATATGTTCTGGAACAACATTGATCTTTGATTGGTAATTTTGATGAATCATAATCGGACGTTTTTTATAAATTTTTTAAAGGTAAAAATCAATCTTATTCTCAGTTATATTATCGACAATGAACTTTACATTAAACAAATATTATGGAGATACTAATAGGTAAATTGGCTAATTCAAATTTTATTTGAATATTATTTTAAGCTGTCCTTTTCCTTATTTCCATTCGAAATAAAACGCGTAATTTTTTTTTCCCCCAAAAATCCTAATATATATTTGACGTGTAAATGCTCGAATAGCCAATTATACTCTATTCAATATTTGAAGGATAGTGAATCGATGATTTTTTAATATCAGAAATATGTGCAAAAAATATAAATAGTACTAAGTTTGATTTATTTAATATATCAGTAGGCGTTTGAATGCGAACAACATTGGGAGAATAAAGTGACGTTAAAATCTTGGCTCGTTGTTGAGTAAAAGTTTCCATTGATTGGTGATGACTGATTTAGGTGCTATTGACATTAAAGTTAATTTTATTCCAGACAAAACTTTTTTTTTTTTTTTTTTTTTTTTTTTTTTATATACACTAATATATTAACAGTTTTTTTTTTTTTTTTTTACAATTGCACACAATTTTTAAGCGTACTAAATTTAATTGCTTCAAGTATAAGAAATATCAGATTTAAATAAGTGTAGGAAATAATATTGTCGTTATAATTAATAAATAAATCAGAGATTATGTAAATGTGCTATTATTTTACAACGAAATTCGAGGGACGATTATGCTTTCCGACATAATAACGAAAAATGAATGAGAACTTTGAATCTAAGAATTTCAACCGAACAATAAATCATTTGAAAATTGCAAACGAACGCTTATAAACATTTAAAAGTTTATAGGAAATTAACTTTCTCATTGAATATTTTTCTAGTAGTAATTTATGTTGCAATTTATAAAATACAAATTCTTTACGATAAATCGTACATTATAATTTTGATGGAGATTTGTATTTGGTGTACGACTGATTACGAATCTAATACTTTTGCTTTCGTGACCATATAGTTGATAATTATTTAAAAATTTAATAATAGTTTATCGATATCTCGATATTTTTATCTAATTTTCAGTGTTAAGTATCATTCTAGTCACTTTGGTTGTTTAAAGAAGGATTTACAATTATAACTTAATAATTCCTTTAAATATTTATAACGCGTACAATAAAGTATTAATTATATTTAATATAAAGGATAAAAATAACTAGAAAAGATGAAAGCGTATTAAACAAAAATAAAAACGATTTATATGTAAATTCTTTAATAAAAATGTTATCGCTTATCTTATTTCGGCAGAATTCCATTCTATTGTTAAGATTTTAACAATGATCCTGGCTATTTATTTATTTATTTATTTTTAACAATGATGATTATATTACAATTTATGAGTGAAAAAAAAAATAATTGAAATACATATTTAAAATCAAATTAGTTTGCAATTTCGCAATGCTTTAGGTTTTTTTTTAAATGAAAAGGATGAAAATTGTCGGATAAGAATTTAATGAATATCAATAGACAAAATCAGCATCCAATGAGGTAAGTTCCTTACATAAATTATAATACAGTAATTAATATAGATAATATTAAAAGTAGGATAATAGGGACTGCTTAAATAAAACCAAAGCGTAATAATTTTTAATTAATAATTATTAATTCTGAAACAGAACTATTATAATGATCAAAACGACATACGTTTGAATAAAAATATGTTCAGTTTTACACATTGTACCCATTATTTTTTAATATAAATGCTTTATCTAAATATAAAATAATGAATTAAAACACTTTGTTTATGACTAAAATTATTTATCTACACTTTTATCGTAATTATAAAATTTAACTGGGCTTAGATTGTTCAGTTTTCCCTTTAACCAAATTTTCTCCCTGCATAGAGATCTGCGTTAATTTTTTGCCAATACGTTCGTGAATATCAAGATATTTAGCGATACATCGATCGAGACACACCGATTCACCTTTTCCAAGTTCTGGTTCCGCATATTTTGGAGGAATACATTTTTTATGGCAAGCTGATGTCATTCGATTATACATATCTGACATCATTTCAATTTCAAGATCTTGAATTAATTTTAATTTATCTTCATCTAATGGAGGAAGTGTAGCCATTTCGATTATTATGTAGTACAACTAAAAAAAAATAATTCCCTTAATATTTGTTATTTTACTGTAACTTGTATTCCTCTTTCAACTTATCTCTAAGTTTCATTTCTTTGTATCGCTGTTTATTTATATAATTTTTTGATAGTTGAAAGCTGTATAATCCCACGCCAATGGATATGATCCTATAAATAAAAATAATATAATTTTCAATGAAGTTGAATACGGTTGTCTACGGGGGAAATGTAGAAAAAAATAAGGATAAAACAATATTTTATGATAATAAAATGAATATAATTAATAAATCCATGCAGGAATTGGTATAACAATTTAACGATATATTAAAATCTACAAATTTTCTAACGAAAGCTAACTTTTATACGTTTGACAATAAATAAATAATTTTTTTTAACCGATTAAATATTTTGGATATTAAACTGGCACGATATCTTTTCTTTTTTTTTTTCAATCAATATTTCCAATATTGGAACAATTTACTTTATAAATTATGTCTTTGGAAATTTACATTACAGATAAGCAATTACATAAATATTATAAATAGCATGTAAATTTTTATTGATACACTATTAATTTATTATGCAGTTAATTATATCCCAGTAGCACTTAATATTATTTCCAAACGCTTTTTCTCCAAAAACTTAATCTAGCCTTATGAAATAATATGACGAATGAATAAATTGTAATGTTTTATAAATTATTACAAGCAGCGAAGTAGGTTATAAAAATTAAAATATGATTTTCATCTCACAGATAGAAACTGAATGTTTGAAAATATTCTAATAAATAATCACGCACCTACCACCCAATTGTAATTTTCTGGCCAACACCTAATGCCATTTCGTAACGTGAATATAAGGAAAAGCTAATAGCTTGCAAGGAAAAACTTAGTACGCATCCGCAAGTTAGTAATGCACGTGTACGGTCCCTATGCGATATAATTGATCCAGAATAATTAACTACCGCCATCTTCAGGCATTGGCATGAAATTTTTATATTGTTAGACTATTCTGTAATTACAATTACAGATATCGAGCATTGAATTTATAAAGTGATTTGTTTTAAATGCAAATGTCATGTATTGGTGTGATATGTATAATCTATCAAGTACCGATCATAAGTAATGAATTATTTTAAATTTACGTCGCGGCTATTTTTTCTACTTGCGGGGAGTATTTATATGCGTCATTGATAAAGTCATTTTGACGTTGATGATTTAGAGGTTTACACTGTTTATATTTATAAACACTTAATAATGAAAACTTAACTGTTCCAGTTTATTTCCACGCATATGGTACTATTTTATTTTATATTCACTATGCTACGTAAATTATTTATTAAGTAATAAAAATACTTGTAATTGTGCGTTTTTCTATAAATTAAGGTTAAATGTCCAATTCTTTTTAAGATAATTGTTTTTATACATTGTGATTTATTTAATTTATAGGATATTTCAAAATGAGTGGAGGTATTGTACCAAGTCGCTCAACGGTGTATATTTCCAATTTACCATTTTCATTGACCAACAACGACATTTACAAACTTCTCGAAGATTATGGAAAAATAGTGAAGTAAGCTTTCTTAAATAATGAATCCATGAATTTTTTAAAATATTTTCTTTTTTTTTTGCATTTCCAGAGTAACGGTATTGAAGGATAAACGAACTAGAAAGAGTAAAGGTGTAGCTTTTGTACTATTTCTTACTCCCGAGGATGCTGCTAATTGTGCTAAAAACATCAATAACACAGAGGTAAAATAGTCGAGTGGAACGTATATTAATATTAATGCATCGTAATGCATAGCAATGTATATTGATATTAATTTTTGTAAATGCAGATAGGAGGTCGAACCGTTAAAAGTTCGATCGCCGTTGATAATGGCAGGAGTACAGAATTTATAAGGCGTAAAGATTATCCGGACAAATCACATTGTTACGAATGTGGCGAAGAAGGTCATTTGTCGTATCAATGTGAAAAAAATACCTTAGGATGTAGGACTCCACCTCCAAAAAAAATTAGAATTAGAGGTAAAAATAAAAATAAAGGTGAAGCAAATACGAATTACTATGACAGTGATAGTGACGATAGTGTAAGAAAACCAAGAGTATCAGGAAATAAAGACAATGGCAGTGATATATCCGAAGGGGAATTGGACTCATTAAGTTCTGCTATTAAAGAAGAAGTACGTATTATTACATTATCTTACATTTTTTTAATCGAATGATTCTTTTATTGATATTATTGTTATAACGATTATTCATTCGAATACTTTTGTCCAAAAAGTATCGATAAATACATAACACAACGCTCATTAGTTATAAAAATATTTTATATTCTGATAAATTATTTATAACGTATTTAATGCTTCAATATTTAATGCTTAAATTAATACATGCCTATTCATTAATTTTTATTCAACAATTTATATTTGTAATTATACACATAAATAATATCTTGTTAAGGCCTATTCTGTGAATTATGTATTATACAGTAACTGTTGCATAAAGAGGAACAAGTACAAATACATTGCTGTATTTAATGATTAATATATGTAATCTAATTTATTTTAGACATGCTTGTTCTGTAATATCTTATTTAAATGAAAGTAAAAAATTCATCGACAATTACACAATGTAACACAATAATCTTTCGATGAAATTATAAATATTTATTTATACTTTCAGCAAGAGCGTAGAGAACTGGAAATTTATAGGCATCAAGTTGCAACTGGACAGTATGAATCAAAACAGCCGTCTGTTGAAAAAAATAATAAGCGTTTCAAAAAGAGTGAATACTTTAGTGACGAAGAAGAGCTTATCGATTAATAATATAATAAAGTTTATTTTTATCAAGGGTACCTCGTAATATTTTTTAAGTATCACAGTGTATCTTCGTATAATCTTATTAAATCCGGTATAGTGGGTGAAAAGTCTGTCCACCTTGAACTTTCCAGCTCAACAAGATTTAACTGTTGTGACTTATCTTTATTCTCCTCTTTCTTTTCTAATACAAAAGTCTTCTTAACAATATCCAGTGCAATTTCTAAAATGAAAGGAGAGAGAATAAATTAAATATATAAACAAGTATAATAGAACATCACTACAAATAATATTAAAATGTGCGCGTTAAATGATACTCCCTTACCATCACTTTTTTTAAGTTTAAAATTGTTCCTTTTACTAAGATTGTTAAGAAACAGATGAAACGCATCTTCTATGTCCGTTAATCTAATCATAAAATCTAAATCTCGTTTTGCAAGATAACTCAGCAGTCGAATTCCGTAAGCTATGGCAGCAGACTGACGCAATTCTAATATCTTCCAAAAGTTTTCCGTCTGTGATTGCTCAAAACTCTTCCAGTCCTCGTTTATTTGATTTTTCCATACGATTTTATTCATCTTATAGCCATGTTTCGAGATTCTCCACGATATATCGGCCTCTATATATTTATCTTTCAATTCCTCGACATTAATTTTAGAACACTCGTTTAAATTAATCACAATAAATTTTAATAAATTTAAACAACAGTTACACGAACTTGTCGTCTTTTCCAACCAAGGAATGGAATCCTTTAAAAGAGCTGTTTTACTAAATATGGCCAGGTCACTTGTGATACTAATTATCGAAATTGGATCGATCTTAAAGTTATCCAATTGTGCGATAAAAATCTCTAAGGCACATGAATCTGAAATAAGATTGTTATATAAAATAAATGTTTCATTAAACATTTTAGCGTTTAAAAAAAAACAAACAAAACAAAAAAAATGTCTTCTCCATGTTGAAGATACCTAGTGTAAAATTAAGCGAGCCCTTCCAATAATTGATACCACACTTATCTGTACAAAAATAAGTAAACGATTTAATTATCGTGTCCTATCGATACGTAAATAGTACGTAGCGTGACAAATTATTAGCATATTATGTACCTGGAGCAATGCATAGCTTATTAACAAAATCGGTATACTGGGAAAATTCCTTTAATGTATTGCAAATTGGTAAAAAACAAGAAAGTAAGGGTCTGCTGTAAATTATTTCTTTAACAATAGTGCAAGCTCGTTTTAATCTGAAAACAAAAGTAAGATAGGATGATTTGCATGAAATTTGTAATTTACCGATTTTTCACTTACTCGGGCGGGGAAAATCCAACATTTTTCTGTACATTTGTAATCAACGTCAATATTGCATTGATGAGACCGGTAAACTGGTGCGATCTTCTCTGCGAATGAGTAATCATTTCATTATTTTATTTATGTCTTTATAATTAAACGATAAGTATGTAGCGCGCGCGATTAATCGACGATTAATTATAAAGAACAATCGATCGCGTTGTTAACATTGACTCGGAAGTCCTCTATTATCACAATGAAATTAAAAATACGACCGAACGCCAGATTGATTAGTGATAAAGAAACAACGGACGAAGTTCCGTCACGCCTCTTACAATGGTACCAATGACGGTGACGAACTCCAGGATTAGCTCAAGGAACTCAAACTCGAAACCCTTCTTGTACCAAGCGTCGTAGCTCTTCATTTGACAGGCGTAAGCATCATAGTCGCTGTCCTTGTCCGTCTTAAGCTTGACATTGCCAGCTACGTAATCGGCGAGGTACTTGGATGCGGTGCTTACGTAAGAGAGGACACCGAAGGCTCGTCGCGTCTCGATACCGCGCTCGAGGTCGTACCAAGGTCGCGCTTCGCAGACGGACCTGGTATGAAGCACCGGCATCTCATAATACTCTGACAGATACAGTTCGTTCATATCCCGGATGTCGTCGTTCTGCAGGCCTTGCGAAATCTTTTGCAAAACCAAGGTGGAGTTGAGCAAGAGCTCTCGCGTCGTGGCGATTAGCTACCGGGTCACAGATTAGAGAGAATTGATTAAAACGTACCTCTTCGACGTACCAAAAGGTGAAAAGTGATTTTCCTTTTTTCGTTTTTTTTTTTTTTTTTTTTTTTTTTTTTTTTTTTTTTGTGGATTAACGTTCGTTAGAATTGACGAAAATGTCTTTGTTAATTGCTTTAAGCGATGATAATTTAAATCAATGCCTTATATCATTGATGTTTCGGGTATTAACTTTCATTAGCGTCAAGTACGTAAATGATTTATTTATGCCAATGTAAGTATTTCGTTAAGGAACATTTTCACTCCTCTAATGATTTGAATATTGAAATAAAGATTATTAGGCTTTAATGTTAAAAATAATTAAGTCTCTATTACATATCAATTCTACGTATAATTGCTGTAATAATAGGAAGGAGATTATAATTATTAAAGCCTAATGGGAAACTGTAAAGCAAGCAGCTTACGTAAATAAGAGTTTTTACGTTCGCTCTTAGGCACACTCGCTGTATTTTAATAAAAAAATTTACGAAAATTTCAATTCGATATTAAATTTAAATGAATATAATATAATGGCAACCAAATTATCAGAGAAATAATAATTTATAAATTTTTCGGATCGTCAGTCCACAATGCTTAAGGGATTTATTGTTTAAGAACGTGTTACGTGAGTTGAATAATCAATTTTTTTCTTACTTTATTAAGAATTGGAATGGTATCCGAAGAATTAATTTCGTCCTGGGTTTTATTTACAAGCTTTACAAGATCGGGTAAAAAAAATTCTGTGCTTAAATTTTGACCATTAACGATGGTAAATTTTGGCTTCGATAATTCTGGATTTTCTAATGTTGAAAATAATAAATTATTAATGAAATTGCATGACATTCACACGGATAAAATACTATCCTATACTTTGGCTGATTTACCAAAAATACGAAAGGTTTCCTCTTCCTGTATAATGGCTAAATTCTTTTTACCAATCTTCTCTTCAAGTTTAATAATGATAACGGACTTTTCGGGCTCGCATGGCTCGAATATGCACTGAGGTATCTTTTTAAGAGGATAGTCTACGATATTAAAAGAAAAATTAATTAGTTTAATTAATAATCCTTCCATTAAGTTCTAATTTCAGTCTTACAAAGCAAGATTATCTTACGAATAATAGTGGTTTTTAAAAATTCGAATACTGGTCTTTGTTCAACTTGGACGCTACTCTCTTTCGTTTTAACCTTCTTTGACATCCTAAAACATTAAAATAATTCTTACATCCTTTGCCATAAGGTTTAAGAATTATGATGTACGTAAGATGTTAGATGTACCAATTCACGGGCAAATTACTTTTGTCCTTGCTGGCCTTAACCATTGTAATTTGGGGTTGAGTAAATTTAATAGAACCTGATTCTAAGAGCTTACATTTTTCAGAAACACTATTGAATTGCAATCCCTGCAATCAACCATTTTTCAAGCGTAAATTTTATAAAGAAAATTATTTTAATGTTTGAATTCTTAAGGATTGGATGAATTATTAAATAAGTGTATAGTCTTAAATTGCACAAATGTTTGCATGCAAAAGATGTTTTGAAACCTGTAGCTGTAATTGTGTTTCCAGGGCAGTTTTCTCTTTAAGCAGCCCACTTATTTCTCCTCTGAGCTTTTGCACTTGCTCCTCCATCAAACGCGTTTGTTCTTTTTTAGCGTTCTCGGCTCGCATTTGAATCTGAAACAGCTGCTGTCGTAGAAATTCCGTTTCGCCTTCCTTTGTCATGAAATCCTCCAGCAACTTCTGCTTTTCCTCTTTCCATTTTTCAACCTGATCGTCATCTGCAATGCATTTCCTTTTTCAATGTGTAATCGAGCATTCGCATTAAGTGTGTATATAGGATAACGATACCCGAGACCAAGACGACATTATTGGACGATGAATCTTCTCTTTTGAGAAAAGTCGAATTGTGAGAATTGCTTTTAATGTTACTTTCAAAATCATCAAAGACTATCGCCTGAGTACTTTCGATAATTTCTTTATTCACATCCGAACAACCCAATACTTGCGACTGCGTTACTCTAGACACGCTATAATCCTTTTGCAAATTTGCTCCCCCTCTGAAACCAGAACTAGTAGACGGTATGGCATCCGAATACAAATTCTTGGACAATCGATTTGATTCGCCTTTTGGTTTGGGTGGTATAAAAATGACTTCCTAAAAAATCATTTGATATTAGCTGTATGAAAATTACAAGGGCATCCTATAAAGCAATGATCTATTAAACAATGTACCTCTTGCGTTGCTTGGGATGCGATAAAGTCCATTTCTTCAATTTCTTCCTCCCCAAAGTCATCGCCCCACAAATCATTAATTTTACCTTTTTCGACATGTCTGGCACTATGTGACGATTTTTTGTCTATACGCACGTTTGGCTGTCTCGTTACATCAAGCTTCACTTTTTTAGCAGGAGACGAAACTTTGCTTTTGCCATATCTCTTAGACATCTTTTAAGATAAATTATCAGAACTCGAATGACCATCCAACAATTTACGCTTTACGTCAAATAATTCTTCAGGGCTTGGCAGGCACGAGATTCAAGTCATTCTTTACTTTCCTCATTTCTTGACTAGATATCACGTTATGTACATTAATTGGCCATTTTTTTTCAATACCATCCAATATCTTTGTTAATTTACTTAATTTCAAGTGATCTGGTGATCCTTCAACTTTCGACGCCTGGTATTAATAATTACTCGAGTACGGAAAAACTTACGCTATCACTTGACACTGTGACAGACGTTCGTAATTAAAGAAGAGACAAAAAGAAGAGGAAAAGTGGAAATAAGTTGATTTAGCAAATACATGAAATATTTACGGATAAAACACAAAAATGTCGCGAGTGAAATAAATAACCTAATCCTAATGACCGAAAGACCTAACCTCTGAGTAGACATAAACCGTAGAATGTGGGAATAAAGGCAAGTAAATAATAAACGTTGAAAAGGAATGCAAAATTTAAAAGGTAAGGGAGGAAAAATATTTGAAGAAAAATACGTTCGCTAAGTTTTTATTTAAAATTTCTTTTTCTTTTCTTTTTTTTTTTTTTTTATTATTATTATTGTCATTATTCAAATACTTTATATTTACAAAAGTACTATTATTATTAAAAGTTCGCCAATATTGTTATATATAAAAAATTGTTATATTACGTAAAATTATTATTATAAATATAATAAGAGTAGAAAATAGATTAAAAGTATTGCGATTGAATAATTAAACAAACGTAAATACATAAATTGTACAGTTCCTTAAATAATTCCTTATATTATAACTTAATTAATATAATTTCACATTTATCTCATATAAGTGTATGGTTTTATATGAAAATCACATCTAACATACTATTATTAGATTTGGTATGTCCATGGTCAACAATATGTTATAAATCGCATAAATAAACTAATTATTTATTTAATTGGTTTTAAGACTAAGACACTTTATATGTTTGTTGTTGGGCCACATTGGTTAATCGGGAATTCGCGCTTCACGAGATTGGCTGCCGATGGTCTTTTTTCCGGGTCCGGATGAATCATTATCTAAACAAAAAAAACAAAAAACAAAAAAAAAACATAAATAAAGTAAAAAATAACACAACATGTTCATAATATTGAAATGCTTATTTTGCACGATTGTTTCAAGATTTTAAATAATATGCGTATCGTTAATTAATCGACAATGGGTAGGAAGGGTATCGTTGTATCTGGGATTGGTTTAACTTTTCAAAGTCTAAATTTCCTTTCGATTTATGTAAGCAACTCATCTTTCCATCAATAGCGAACTATTCACGCACGAGTGTGATTAAATGTCTTTATAAATATATTAAAGTAATATTGACGACATTGAGGAATTGACACGACACCTCCGTGCTCTCGGAGCATACACAAACGACTCCAATCTCGCGCTTAATATTGTTCATAGCTTAGGAGAGAAGAAGAGGAGAAAAGAGGGGTGGAATAGAAAAGGAAAAAGCAAAGAGAAAAAGAACAAAATAGAGGAATAATGAAAGGAGAGAGATGCAGAAAGCATTTAGTAAATACTAAATCTACCCCCTATTAATACGTAGTCTTCGAGTTTGCATAAGCGATTAGCGCACTTTTCATTCGCCACACTATTCTAAGACTCGAGAGGACATTGCATTATTGCTTACCTTGATAAGTTCGTCGAGCTCGTTACTGCAATGCGTTATTTTCTTCACGTTTCCGTTTCTGATGTCGTGCCATTCGGGTCCGTTTTTCGGCAAGGGACCGCCACCCGCGGCCTCGTAGATCGTCAGTCCAAAAGCGAAGATGTCAGCCTTCGTCAGGTCCCTAAAGTCCTCGCGCAATATTTCTCGCGATAAGTACCTGCGAAAGAACAATAAGTAAGAAATAGAGAGAGAGAGAGAGAGAGAGAGAGATAGAGAGAGAAAGCGACAATCAAGTAGCTAATAAATAACGCGCACCAAATGGTATAGCGAAACGAGAATTTTCATTTTTAAATATAACTAAACGATGGTTCGCCCACTCAATTCACTCCATCTCCGCATTTATTTAGCGATACATGTAATGGCGAATAAAGAGAACTCGTTATCAAAAGGAAATCCAAGCTCGCGCGTACGTTAATGAATGCGCCCTTCGTGGACCGACGCTCCCAGCTTCATAAATAAACTCGTCATTACAATTTTAATAGGGAGGCGGCAAAAATGATAAATGCGATTAATATGTATCGCGGCTTTAAAAAATAAATAAATATAAAAAAAAAAAAAAAAATCCTGCCATTGATATTGCAATGAAAGCTTTTGGAAGTTTGGAGTCGAGCGATGAGAAAATCGTTCTTTACTTTATTACTAGCGACATTTTACATGTCGATTGCTCCCGAGTAAACGGCTCACCTGCAGTCGCCCTCGTCCTCCAGCTCCTTGGTATTAACGATCGAAGTAACGTGTCCTAAGTCGCCGATCTTATAAATAATTTCCTCCTCTTCCTCCTCTTCCTCCTGCTCCACCTCAGCCAGGTCGTCGCCATTGCCGACAAGATCGACGCGCAACCGCGACTTCCACACCTTGCTCCTGCAGATAAACACATTGTCCGGCTTGATGTCCATGTGCGCCAGCTTCATGCGATGTATGGATCTGCGAACAAGTACGTTAGTCGCCTTGTGATGGCTAATCGGTCAATTAGCCCGACTGGGCAACTAATCGCCAAACCAACTTACCTCAGACCCTCGGCCACGTGTCGCACGAGTCTGCGCAGCTCCGGCTCCTCGAGGCGAGTCCGCTCGCGCCTCATCCTCGCGAGGAGGCCCGCTAGGTCGCCGCCGTTGCAGTACTCCTGCTGTATGGACAGCCGCTCCTCCTCCATCCAGGCGGAAAAGTAACGCACGACGTGGGGCTGACTGCCGAGTGCGGCGTTCGCGTGGACCTCGTTACAGGCGCGTCTGTGCGCGTACGGGTTTCTCGCCACCGGCTTGCTGCGCTTCACCGCATAGAGGAAGCCGTCGAGCCGGTGCAGGCAGCGATAGACCGAGCCGAACTGCCCGCTGCCGAGGTGCTCGAGCTCCACGAACTCGCACTGGTAGCGGCCGACGCTCGAGCAGCTGCTCGGCTCCAAGGGCTCGTGGGACCTCGTGATAGAGAGCGAGCGCTCCGGTGACGACTCGCCGCTGCACGAGCCGAAGCGCAGGGTCCTGCGTATTATCCTCGACCTAGAGAGAGATGGTGCTTAATCGGGATTAAAATTCCTCGATGTCGATCGTTCCGATGCCGCTTTTCAACGCGCCCCACGTAATCAATCGCTAAATGCCTCGCGACATCCGAGCCGCCCTTTCATTGGCGACAATTAGCCAAAGGGGAGTCGATCAATTTGTTCCTCGTTTACACGCGTTCCTATAAATAATGGCGGGATCGAGGGGGGAAGGGGGGTGGCGGGGGGTCGTTTGGGCAGGAAAAGAGACCCCCAACGCCGACGAGCCGATTTCCCGGAGCCGATTTATTTAAGAAAGAATATTTAAGAAATCGCGAGTGCACGCGCCGCGATTAATCATTCGCATTCCGCCGATCCATCGACCGCTCGGCATCCTCGAGACTCAGATCCGAGCCATTAATATTACCGATATTAACAAACACACCGTGGATATCGTCGTTAGACGACTGGTACTCTGCTTCGTACGAGCAAGACGCGACGCTCGGCCGCCGCGTGACATCGCCCAATCAATTATCCGAGCAATTGACGTTTGCAGAGGCATGGCAGCAATGCTCCTATTGTGTATACAATTATAAGTTGTTGTGAATGCGTGAGTGTCCGCTGGATGATCGACGACGTTAGCTTCGAGTCAGTCGCCCGGTAGCCCCTCGTAGGTTGGCTTATATTTCAAATCGCGTCGGCTACATAATCTCGAGCTCGAACCCCTGGCGCGCCGTCGCTTCTCGGCCACTGTCGTCACAAAGGAGCCAGAGCCCTCTCATACACACGGTAGCGCGCGCACGCGCGCACAAAACACAAAAACACAAACGCACATTCTCTGGTTAGGTCTCTCGGGGGCGGTCGTCATTGCGATCGAGCGGCTTGGCGACGAGGCTCGGTTGGCGGTCGGGATTTGCGAGCGCGATACCGCCCGTCCTCCGATTGGCCTCGAGACGACGACCGGATCGAATTGGCAAGCGACAAAAGCGAATAAACAGCGGGTGACCGAGACTTACCTAGCGTTCTTGTACTCGTCGCGCGTCGTCCTCGTACGGGCAAGCGAATCCTCGTCGAAGGGCGCGAACGGATTGACGCTGACAGTGAGGGAGCCGCCGTCGGGCGACGTCCTGACCTCGCGCCTCCGTCCCCTGGTCATCCACCGGTCCCAGGAGAAGATCATCTTAAGTCGCTTGCAGAGCGTACTCATGCAGGCCATGACCACCGAGCCTCACCGACTGTGTTGTACGTCCGCAACGGAGCTGCTCAGACGACGGACTGCCGGCCGACCGATGGGCGTCGTGGACAGATCCTGGTGGGCCGACGCGGAGAGGGGGCGAGATTCGATTCCGGGAATCACGGGGGTACCTGTCCCAATCAAGGATGCGCGCAACGAGCTTTAATGACTTATCGATTTATAGTCCGAATCATGTCTTTACATGCTGCACTCTGGCAGGTGTGATTCGCTGGAGGAGGCCCGATTTATTGGAAGGACTTGGCTTTGTTTACCAATTTCTCTCTAACAAGGGACGTCTCTCTCGCACGCGCGCACTCATACACACGCAGCCTTCCCCTCGCTAATCGCTTTATGTACCTGCTACGATTTCTCTGCCAACCATGGAAGATTATTTGAATATTTTTTAAATACACTACAGTACAGCGTATACATTGTCTTAGCCTTAATCATAATTAGACAAAGACGACACAAGTAAACAACGTCTTGAGGGCTTTTGTAAGATGTAGTTTGCACTGCAACATCTATTACGTCGATTTCTCATTACTGAATAGAGCAGGATTACGTTATGCGAGCGCTCTACAGCTCGAACTTACGCAGCAATTAAACCAAACATTAATTATAATTAAGATAATAAACTCGATGTGTCGAGATGTTTGTATTCATTTGCAGGATCGCCGATTGACGGACGCGATTGATATTAAGTTCCATTGAGATTTGGCGATAACTTAAAGTAGTCGTCCAGCATTTCTAATCGCATAACTGGAGCCTGAGAAAAAAAAGAGAAAATAAAAGTTTCTTTTCTTTTGTATTAAAGTTTAAAAAGTGATAGTGAGTAGTTTTTTTTTTTTTTTTTTTTTTTTTTTTTTTTTTTTTTTTTTTTTGTCATTCTCACGCAATAGTACATACGTCAATTATTACAATATTAATTTATAAAATACAATTTGAAATAAAACCGATAAATTGCCTAGAAATCAAGTACTTAGGGAATAATGAGAGTGAAAACAAAAAAAACAAAAAAAAAAAAACATTGGAAAAATTGTAAGACACGCCTGGAGACGATTTTCTAACGATGTAATTATCATTTTGGGACATTATGTACTTGGAAATTTATCTCAAATTCTACTTATTTACGTACGTATGGCCAATGGCAACTTATCATAAACTAAGCGCTAAACGTCCTTTGTAACTTAATAATACCTCGAGAGTATTATTGCACTCAATAGTGGGCGGGCATACTCCGATCAATCAAAATTAAGCAAAAGAAATTACAAGCCCTGAGTTGGTCAATGTAATGGTACTGCCATTTTTCACGGCTGTTATGAATAAAAACTCAATGTTCTCGATTATTCGACTGTACAGCAGTAATGAATAGTATCGAATTACCCTGCGGTTCAGAAGGATAAGCTAATCATAAATATGTTGTATAGCATAAAGTCACTCAAAACAAAATCTTAGTAATATAATATACGTAGAAGTTAAAATGAGTAATTTTAAAACATCTGAGATGTTCGAAAATATGAAGCAATGCGCGGTTTTAAGCGACACAACAGTGTCATACAGCGGAGACAAAAATGGCAAATTTATAGCTTTGTTTGAGATACACAAAAGTAATTCACGCAAATATTATTCCTGTAAGGATTACGAAAGAGAAAAGAAAAAAATCTTGTTTTACGATTAATAATAATCCATTGCTTAAGCTGTAAAAATGAATGAAATGTCAAAGACATGTCGTGCACAAAATTATTATTTATGCGCGATGATGCTCGATAATTTTTTTTTTTTTTTTTTTTTTTTTTTTTTTCTTTTTCTTTGCCACCTATCGACAGGCAAATTTTATAAACCATACTGGAGACAATGAAGCACGACTCACATCGACTCATTTTACCAAATTTATATTAATTTTTCAAATTCACAATTCAATTTATACTTTGCTTAATTCATTCGCAATGCTTTTAAACAAATGGCATTAAAATTCAACGAATTTTAATTCAATTCAAAATTTTCGAATCGACAAGACGAATATGCACCTATAAGTTATTAAATATAACAAAAAGAAAAAGTTCTCCGCTACAGAATTATACCAATGTAATGAAGGCAAGACATAAAACACACTTAACATGGGTTATTTTAAATTCATTTATTATCAATTTGTTACAAAATATTACCGATATAATATTAGTGTAATAAAAAATAACAAATCACGACGTCTCTGCTAACACGCCAACTACGGTATGTTATTTTTTTTTTTTCTCAAAATTATCATTTTCGCGGAGCCAGTACGCGCTCGAGGATCCACCCTCGCTAATAGCAGCAGTGTATCTTCATGTTTTTCTTTTTTTTTCTCTCTCTCTTCAAAAGATTCGCCATACACACAATACCCAACTACGATCACATTTTTCTTTTCAAAAAAAAACTTCTCCCTCTCATTGTCATTCCTTCGTATTTTTTTTTTTTTTTTCAATTTTAATTTTCATTTACTCTTTAAATATATTCACTTTCGTTTGAATCATACGCCAAAAATATACTTATACCGTAACATTTGGGTCAATGATCTCGCATCGCCCGTACACATGCACAACTTCTTTACGTCTATTTAAATTTTTCGTCCATTTTACCGACATATTTGGTTGATTGTAAATGCTTCAATTCTTTATGTAAAAATAATTTTGCGCAATATATGTGTATACTCGCATTGCTGTTCGTAAAAGGCACTTATCGTTTTCTTTCTTATAAATTTTCATAGGAATAATGATGATGTTGATAATAGGCCAAGCATAATTGACTAACATCTATGAAAAAGATTTAACAATGACGAACAGCGAGTGGCACGTTGTATCGATGTGTCTTCCGTTTATGTGAAGAATCAATAATTAATATGTTATAATAATAATAATTAATAATAATAATTAATAATAATAATTAATAATCATAATTAATAATAATAAGAATTATCATCATAGTTAAACAAAAAGGCGCAGTCTAAAAGATGGCTATGTTACAAGCGTAGGATTTTGGAAAAAAGTTCATGATATATCTTTTCATTTATCAAATCCAATTGAACATAAACAAAGATCGCAATTTTCATACTTAATTGAGTATGAGTATGATTATGCAGTTCACAATGCTCGAAACATTTTATTATCCGCTTTATTTATTTCTATTTCTCAATATTACATGCTTGTAAAAAGAGCACGACGGAAACGACGTTCTGCTGCTTTTGCAATACTTATTTTTATTATTTTTATTATTTTATTTATTTATTTATTTTTTTTGTTTATTAATATTTTCTTGTTTGTTTACTTTGTACGTGCAAACGCACAACGAGAATTAAGCGGGATAATAGAAAACGATCGATAAAAATTTTTTTTCATCAAGGTAGTTTGTACAAATTGCAACGATACACTTTCGCTTATGCAGGAAATAAAAAATTTTTTTATCGAAATGTCTTCCCTCTCTTTCTACGAATGGCTTATAAAACAAAAATAAATTGATTACCGTCTCGTAGAAATGTTCTCCTGTGTTACCCTGATCAAGAACGAAATGCTTCTTCGAATGAATCTGTAAAAACCTCCTGTTGTTTTTGTTTGTTTTTTTTTTTTAAATTCAAAAAGTCGATACGGTGTTAGAAATTGATTTTCTCTTTTTTACTTGTCATTTCAATGCATCGCAACAATAATTATTTAAAACAAATTATTGTTTTAATTAGTAAGCGAAAAAAATTTAATTAACAATTAACGCCAACTAACCCTAGGAAAAACACGACTTTCGTCCCTTAAGCTTATTATACATGAATATAAAAATATTTTATATAATGTACTATACAACACAATATTGTTAGTGATAAAAGTTAAACGTAAGTGTATAATTAGTAGATGTCTGAAGAATTAGACGACTAAAATCATTACGAGAATAATTTACGAGAAGGAAACAAAAAAACAAAAAAAAATTACAAAAAAAAAAAAAGATCGCCTACCTTCAATATAAAGTACACATCGATTCAAAACGCTTTGACTCGTGGTAGTAGTATATACAGAGTCAAATTGCGGCTTATTCATTTTTTTATTAAATTATCGGGAGTTTATATTCAAATAAAAACTACTGGGGTCATCTTTGTAAAAAGAAAAATCAATCATTTTTTATTATTATTTTTTTTTTTTATTAATTTTTGTTTTTGTTTTTTATTATTTTTTTTTTTATTTTTATTATTATTAGTCTTAAAAATAGAATGAACGAAACGAAAAAGTCAACGTCTATTTTTTTTATTTTCAAAATAAAGCAAACGAATGAAAATGCCTATGAGAACATCCCACTAAGTATTGATCCTAATTGAATTTATTCTTTTTTAAAATATGATTTTATTTTGTAGTTTGGTATTACATGCAGATTGAATTTAAAATAATATCGATAATAATAATAATAATAATAGTAGTAGTAGTAGTAGTAGTAGTAGTAATAGTAGTAGTAGTAGTACTAGTAGTATTACTAGTAATATTAGTGTAGTAGTGGTAATAGCAGTTGTAGTATTAGTAGTAGTAGTAGTAGTAGTAGTAATAGTAGTAGTAGTAGTACTAGTAGTATTACTAGTAATATTAGTGTAGTAGTGGTAATAGCAGTTGTAGTATTAGTAGTAGTAGTAGTAGTAGTAGTAATAGTAGTAGTAGTAGTACTAGTAGTATTACTAGTAATATTAGTGTAGTAGTGGTAATAGCAGTTGTAGTATTAGTAGTAGTAGTAGTAGTAGTAGTAATAGTAGTAGTAGTAGTACTAGTAGTATTACTAGTAATATTAGTGTAGTAGTGGTAATAGCAGTTGTAGTATTCGTATCGGTAAGTGGTAGTATCAGTGGTAGTGGTGGTAAAGGTCGCAGTAGTGGTAGTATCAGTGGTAGTGGTGGTAAAGGTCGCAGTAGTGGTAGTATCAGTGGTAGTGGTGGTAAAGGTCGCAGTAGTGGTAGTAGCGTTGGTTGGTAATAATGGTAGTTGTGGTAGTAACAGTATTAGTAGTTGTAGTAGTTGTAGTAGTGGTAGTTGTAGTAGTAGCAATAATAATGGTAATGGTAATAGTGGTTTGGTAGCGGTAGTAGTAGTAATAATAAACATGCAATGTATTTTATAAAATAGTTTTGAAAATGATCACTTTAAAAATCTCGTGATCAAAACATTATATATCATTTTCCAAGATAATTGTATATGATCACCGACAATGGAAGCGAGATGATAACGATACTTCCATTTTATTTTTAATATAAAACAATCGTTAAATGACTGTTAAAAATATATATTCTTTTGTTTGTAATCAAATAAGAAAAATATATAAAAAAATATACTACTGTAATCAATGTAAATAATAATGGCAACCCATGCAAAAAATTTTTTCATTCGGTTGAAACAATAAATATTTAGAAAAAAGCCCGCAGGATCTCACGAAGAAAATTATTTACATGTACATAATATTTGTAAAGGCAAGCAATTTCACTCTGAATACAACGTCCGAGCTCGATTCAAGGCGATAATGAATCTTAGACAGAGACCATGAACAAAATTAGCGCTTGAAATCTATTTCCTTTTAATTTTATGTAACATGGACTTTTTCATACCAATCATACACAACAACATATCTGCAGACGCATAATAGCATAATAAGAGTAAAAAAAAAATTTCTCGAGAACATACTGATTGTTAGTTTTACATGGATGTATGAAGTTTATAATATAAATTGAAACGGTATTATTTCGTTGATAATTAAATATTAGTTGTAAAATTATACATCATTTATTTGAATACTTGGTATATAAAATAAAAGTTCGAGAAGCGCCTCTTTCGGGGCAATAAAATTACTGCAATAAATTCAACATCATCGTAAAATTAAAAAAAAACTCTTGCTTCTGCTCAGGGTCCCTGATCTCAAAAAAGATGAACGATTAGTTCTCTCTGATGACTTACAGACTAAAAAAGTAATAACCGGATATCACAATACAAAAAGCACCGACGGGTGCCGCGATCTTTCTTTCCCTCTTGTATATGCGCGCGCGCGCTCGCCGTCTTTCACTTTCTCTCTGCGTATCTTAAAAAGCACGTTACATAGAAAGAAAGTAATGGATAAACACAGCTTATTATTTTCCACATGCAGCTCTCAAAAATTCGTTGTGCTGTTACTGCGATTGACCTTCTTGCCAAGGACACGCGACGACGTCCTCGTGGGCGTGGGTCTGAGCCTGTAGCCACCGTTGGCAACCCCAGTGTTCATCTGGCCATTATTAATGGCGACCATGTTGGGTGCGATGGTTTTCAGGCACTTGGCCGCCTCCTGGAGCTGCTTCGAGAGTATCTCGTTCTTGAGACGCTCGGCGTTCAGCTCGCGGCGCAACTGAGCTTTGGTCTTGTTGCCATTAGGGCTGAGGACCCGGTGTTGGATCAAGCTCACCGCGGACGGTCGCATCTCCGGGTTCGGATGGATCATTAGCTGAAAGGTATAATGAACGAGAATATAATAAAGAATAAGTCTAATTGGGGCTTACGAGTGGCCGAAATCTCATCTTGTTCCTTTTTATGACAATTATTTTCATGTGTTTAACTATTATTGTGTGGATGATTTTAATTCAAACGGCTTACGCCCGATACCGATTAATCATTGATGAATTTCAGATTTCGGATTTCGGATTTCGGATTCCTATTTTAAACGTGATTCATAATAATCATTGAACGTTCCGTTGCCTACGAACATCTTTAATGCGATTACTTATGAAACTGTAAGGATTAGAAATTTAGGCGTTAATATTACAACATAAATGAGGCGCATACTTTCTTAAAACTTTTCTTTCGATTAATTTCTTTATAATATAATTTCATTACAACTATATATAGAATAATCTAAATAAATAGATGTTACAACAATACAATAAATTTGTAGCTGAAGGAGATTATTGTTTTTTTTTTCTTTTTCTTTTTAAGATTATTATGGTGTATGTTTAAGCCTATCTTTGTGCTTATGATAGAGAGAGAGAGAGAGAGAGAGAGAGAGAGAGAGAGAGAGAGATTCAACATTGAATGGCAATGTAATGTGCAGGATACACATCAGAATGTCGACAAAATGTACCTGCAAATTGCAGAAATATCTTCTATTCGTGCACATAAAGCTCTTGCTTAAGCATTAAAACTGATGATAAAAAAAAAAAAAAATAAAAACTTAGATAAGGAATAAAAAATTAAAGCCGCGAATATGAATATCCAGTTGTTTGGGCGAATTTGAATTTATCATGCTAATATAGCTTTAAGTGTACCGAGTATTGATAGTTCGGCAATCAATAAAATAAAGTAAAGTCATATTTTTAATACAACCATTTGTACGATTCGTATATTAATTTTTGATTTTTGTATTGCTTGTGAAAATTCTATCACGGGCCCCGCCGCCTAACATTTAATCAAAATCTATGGACGACGATCGTGGCGATGGCAGCAATTACATCATCGCTGCGCGAATAAGCGCAATTATTGAAGGCAAGTAAGTGCACGCACCTTGAGCAAATCGTTGAGATCCCTACTGTACTGCGGCAGTTCCTTAAGGTGGCCCTTCCTGATGTCATGCCATTCGGGTCCATTTTTGGGCAACGGACCACCACCAGCCGCCTCATACATTGTCAGTCCCAGTGCGAATATGTCAGCCTTCGTCAGGTGCGTAATGTCCTCGTGGAGGATCTCGGTCGGTAGATACCTGCAGTCGCCCTCCTCCACCTGCGGGTTGTTTATCGAAGTGACGTGTCCCAGATCGCCGATCTTGTAGGTGATCTCCTCCTCAGTCTCTTCTTCGTCAAAGCCGTCGTCGGCCGAATCGTAGTTCACTCGCAGCTGACTCTTCTCTCGCGATATGAATATGTTGCCTGGCTTGATGTCCATGTGCACTGCTCATTGAAAGAAACAACGTCGTCCCATCAAGCATTCTTCGCAATGGCAAATTTTAGGCGCGGGTAAACGCGAGGTGCTGCTGCTTTTATAAAATTTCCCATTGCGCGCTTATATATTTATATATCTATATATCTATATATATATATATATATATATATATATATATATATATATACACACACACACGCACACGCACACTTTTTTTCTTTATTTTGTTATTTCGGCATTTAAATATTAAATATTAATTATTAGTTATTTTGTTCAAGTTCGATCGCACCAATTCGCGTAAAAGTAAAAAATTGCTCGAGTAACACTAACACAAATAACACAGCGCGTGAATTATCAAACAAGAATGTACCAAACATTCAGAGATAGTACGCTTTTAGAAAGCAAATTAATAAATTAATTCCTCGAGGCTTGACTAACTACTCGAGCATCGATTCTCCATAGATAACGACGAAGCAAAAAACCTACCCAACTGCATGCTGTGAATGTATCGGAGACCCTCGGCGATGTGCAACAGGAGCTGCCGAATCTCTGCCTCGGAAAAGTGCCTCTTCTCCTGCCTCAAATTGTTAATCGCGTCCGCCAAACTGCCACCGTTGCAATACTCGTTCTGAATGATCATGTGATTGTCCTCCGCCCAGGCTGAATAGTACCTGACGACGTGCTGGTGCTTACCCAAGACCGCGTGCGCGTATACCTCGTTCAGCGCGTTCTTCTCGTTCACGCTGCCCGCCACCGGCTTTATGCTCTTTTTCACAGCGTAGTTGCAGCCATCGAGCCGGTGCGTGCACTTGTAGACGGAACCGAACTCACCGGTACCTAGGAGCTCCAGCTCGAGGAATTCCTGGTAATAGCGCGAGATATTTGATTCGTGAAGGGCGACGCGTTTCGTTGGCTGCTCGAGATCGTTATCCGACTCCTCCGAGTCTATCAGGTCAAACTTTGGTATTCGCAGCTCTGGCGACCTATGGGTATATAAGAATAGAAGTAAATTATTGTTCGTGTTCGTACTTTGTCTTATAGCATAAAAGGCACTTTGGCGTTTACACTTGCTAATGAAGCATCGACTACGAGTATTAGATCCTTGATTATTATTGCACAATTATATATTGAATAAAATTGTGTCAGCATTTATATTGAAAGCATAAATGAAGAAAGAGAAAGAGAATGTTTATTTTTCATATTGTAACTTGCTAATGGTTACTATCGCATTATTACTCGAGTTACATTGGTAAAATGTGTACAATATTTTTATTTTCCATCGTTTAAAGCTAAATAGAAGAAGAAAAATAATTTAATATTAGCTGTATTTTCAGAATTTAAATGCAAAAAAAAGAAAGAAAAAAAAAAACAAAAATTGAAATATAAACATCAAATAACATAATATTAAAGGTTCTATCGTAATCGTTGGTTATTTATACTCGTGATTATTAATGACTATTCTTGTTGTTTTCTTGTACTGTTCCCATGCACCTACGCCGGTTGTATTTTGATTACCCATTATTAAGATATAAATAAGTTTTCAAGAAAATCCCTTTAAACAATGACGCATTCAATGATAATAATAAGAAATAAATACAAACATATTAAGCTCAAGTAGAAGCACGCAGGCTAATAAAAAATAAATACGAATATAAATCATCTAATGCACTGGATTAAAGTAGAAAATTATAAAATTCAGAACGATAAGCTATGCAATAAAAGAATTCTTAAACGAGTATCTCCAATTATGTCGACTCACCCAACTAAACTTCGTTTGGATCTGGTTCTCTTCCTCGCAGTGAGTAGCATTCCATTTGGAGTAAATGGATTGATGTTTGCCGTTGGCTTATCAGATTTGCTCTGGTACGAAGACGGGACAGCTTTAGGCTTATCCGGATGAAACAGCCTCGAACATTTATTTGGTATAGGTGTGTGCATTGCGCTTTTTTCAATTAGCGTTTTTGGTGTTGCGGGCGAGTCGAATAGCCTTAACGCACGTACTCGCTTGTAAGGTGGACTACATGCTAAGATCACTCTGCATTGTGGGGCTCCCTCGCGGTGTCCTTGCTTAATTCCCATAGGACCTGTTCCAACATAAGCATTTAGCATTTGAAAATCAAGAATCGAATAACCGGTCGAACGTTATAACCAATGAATAATAATAATTATCGACGGCTTATTATAATCAAAGTAAATTTGTAGTTTTGGAAATTGTCTCAATGCTATTGTGTCAATGCCCTACAAATTTATAGAGTACGCTGTAAGTTTGTTCATACATTGTATCGGGCACATTATAAAAAATGTATTAATGTTAATGAATTCAATGCATGGCAAACAAAGAATCATGCTTTGGATTCAGATAAATTAATTTCAACGAGAATACATGTATTTTGCTAATAGCAGATCGGGCTACATAATATAATATCGATCTCATTTTAATAGTATCGTTTTACTTTCATACGACACGAGCATCAAAATCAATGTCACACGACTCGCATGAAGGACTTATTGCTCTAAGAAATAATGTGCAATAACTAGTGCGATTTCGTTACACTAGATAAGTAATAGGTACGATCTAGTAAATTCAAATTATCTTTAAAAATTTGACTACAATTACAAGTAAGTAAGGCATATAAAAAATTGTATTTTATATAGAAATAAGGTTTAACGTTGTTTTTTTTTGGCCTACGGTACATTTTTTACAGCGCAAAGTCAATGAAAAAGTTCATAGGATTACTCAATTTTATAAATATTGAAAATAAAATAGATACACTAGGCATCTAGGGGAAAAAAAGCATTTTACAATTCTAGTTTATTTAAGCAGTTTCGTTGATAAATGCGGAATCAAATGTTGAAAATTATTACAAAGCTTGCGATTCAAAAAACAGACAAACAAACAAACACCTCCAAAGCATACATCTTATCTTAAAAAGAATACCCTAATATTCTTAATTGTATAATTGTGTAAGGAGAAGTGGATTTTTTTTTCATTGTTCTACAGGCAGATTATCGTTTTAGAATAGGAGGCAATTTTTAAATTTGCCTCGTGCAACTTTACCAAAGCGACTCCATTATTAACTACGCATAATGAAATATCAATGTAGCACACTTTAGGACATGGATTTTACAATAATTACTATTTAAGCCAATTATAAAAAAACATTATATAATAACGATAATTGTTTCGTCACTTGCAATAATTGTCTGGCATCAAAAGAATTTCGATAAAAGTAATTTCGACTAAATTATTTACCCTTAGTTTATATAAGGTTGAAAATTAATTGTCAGCATAACGATAATTAAAATTCTTAACGATTCGTTATTCCGATACTATTGCGTTGGCATTATCTAAAATGATATTAACAGTTTATATCTTTCAACCAACCCATGCACATCGTGGTCACATTATAACATAGATTTTCAGATTCTCCAATTATTAAAGTTATCATTAATATTGTTATTACTACAGTGCCTTGCATTTATAATGAAATTATAAAATAATTCATCGTTAGAGCAAAAAATTAAAACGTAAAATATGTGCAAATACGCCATTATTTTTTTGAAAAACTAGAGCAATTAATTACATTCGCATAAGGTGTTTCCTGTTTTATACAAATTTGAAGATGCGTTGTAACAATGTTCAGCTGCAACGATAGCATCTAAGTACAAACGATTCGATTATATATGCACCATCTATCATCCCAGCCCATAAACTATGAAAAATCAAAGCTCAAACCGCGATTCACACTTTCTCTTAACGCATTGTAAGATTAATACGCTAATCTCTACCAAATGCCAATCTCCACAAAGCGATTAACTTAACTTTTGTTAACCCTCGTGAGCTTGAATACTTGCTAACGCATTGATTAAGAAGAAACGGAGATCCATGTCCCGAGAAAATTGTGATGGCCGACAGACGAAAATGTACGAGCGCAAAATTGCAAAATTCCTCGAGTCGACAACGCTACAAGAGTAGCCACGCGTACGCGTCACTAAAATATATCCACGTAGCGCGCGAGACTCCCCGTCGAGAAAGAATCCCATCACGACGGAGGGGCGAGCACATAGTGGGAAAGTAGGGGCGCCGAGCAGTAGGAGAAGAGACACGGAAGCTTATGACATCGGGGCCGTCAATACCAGGCAGTCGTACCTGTCAACATAACCGAGGGCGTCCTGTCACTGGACCCGGAGCCCGTCGGCTCAGCGGCGGCGGTGGCGGCGCCGCCATCACCACCACCACCGTCGCCACCACCGCCGTCGTCACTGAAGTCCATGCCGTTGTCGAAGGAGAGCTTCCTCGGCTGGGGCAAATGGAGAAGGAGGTCGGCGGTGCCACACGCCTCGAGGTCCTCGGTCGATGTATCGAGCGCGCACACGTCATCGACGTCGCAGCCGGAGCTGTTGGTCGTGCGGCAGCTGATGTTCAGCTCCTCGTCCTCGATGTCGCGCGCCTCGTAATGCTGCTGCTGCTGCTGCTGCTGCTGCTGCTGCTGCTGCTGCTGCTGCTGCCGCCGCTGCTGCTGCATGCTTCCGGCCCCCGGCTGATCACCATTAAAGTCGCGACTCGCTCTGGCGACGTCCACGTCCGTTGCGCCAAAGAGACGGGTCCTTCCGAGAGATAGTCGAGGAGTCGGAGCCCTCGCGCATACGCGCTGCAGGTTTACCTCCGTGTATACGCGGCTCTCGCACCTTGGTCTCGGCTTTAACAGCTAATTCAAGAATGTAAGCGTTAGGACAATCGGGATCGGGGAGCGGTCGGTCCGACCATTGCCTGCCTCTCGTCGTCTCAGCTCAACTGCTCTGACGTCATCTGCTCTGTAAATTTGATCCGTTGTGCTTGAATTTGAAAGATAGACACTCTTTCTCTCTCTCTCTCTTTTATCCCTTTATTAATAAAATCGTGTCCATTAGCGTTTGGAGCGGCAGTATTTCGAATGGCGAGTGCCCTCAGCGGAATTGGGCCCAATTTATTTTGGTTGTCTCGTACGAGAAAGCAGTGTGTTGAAATTGCATTCAAAAAAAAAAAAAACAAACAAACAAACAAAGATACAAAAAAGGGCACAAAAAAATAAAAATTCCTTAACCCTCGACTCGCTCTAGACGAGACTTTCGACTCGTGTATTTTGTTCCAAGGTCATCCGTAGTTAGTAAACGTGATTTTAACGTAAGGTAGAGTGATGAAGCGCAAGTACCAATCTGACGACGGAGTGGGGCTTTCATTGAGTACAATTACAAAGTAAAGCTCGAATGGGTAATTACACTACTCCAGCATTGAACAAACGTCTGTGCTTTGTCAATTAAGCAAGCCCCTCAGTCGTCATAATGTACATTCATCGATTTATCCCCCATCAATCATCAATATTTCCGCCGTCACCGCCGCCGTCGCCGCCGCAGCTGAGCCTACTCACGGTGACGAGAGTCGTAACAACATGAAATTACATTGCACTGCCTCCACCCACCCACCCACTGGCGCAGCAAAATTAATGAAGTGATCAACGGCGTTACACGTCGTATCGGATGTGTATCAATCAGCCCAATTTACGAAACTATTTAACAGCTCGTGATTTTTATCGTTTATCTTAATATTTTTCCCCCATTTTACGTAGCAATATTATATGAATATGGATAGTTTCGACGGTTGGTCCTGGATTTATGCCCCCGGAAGCCCGCTACTATTACAGCAAGATTATGATTTAAAACAAAACAAAAAACAAACAAAAATTGTATATTATAAATAATAAAACAAAAAGAAAAGGAAAGAAGAAAAAAAAGAAGCCACGGATCTACCGTATTGGCAGATGAGAAGCTCTTAAAATAGGCGAGACAAAAATGCATTAAAGCAAAAGGAATGGGAGACCGGTAGCGGCCGCCGCCGCCGCCGCCACCGCCACCGCCGCCACCACTGCCGGTCTCCTTAACTATGAAATACAAATCTACATTTTTGTAACACCATTCGTGAATTGATAATGCAAAAATAAAAGCACATTGGTAAACTTCTTTAATATCGAGAGCAACTCGGAATAAGATGCTATAAAGTCGGGTTAGTTCCGTCATTGTCGAGCACACGCGTACACAAGAGAGAATAATGAGGAGGAACAAAAAAAAGAAAGGAAGGAAAAAAATGAAATGGCTGTTTGGCTGCTTGTGATGCCGGGCGGTTCTCGGTTGAGCCCTGCCTTCAACAACCCACGCACGCACGCACTCACGCACGCACGCACGCACGCACGCACGCACGCACGCACTCACGCACGCTCGCACTCACATTCTCACTTAATCTCGTACTCACTCTCACTCACTCGCTCGCTCGCTCGCTCTCTCTCTCTCTCTCTCTCTCTCTCTCTCTCACGCGCACACAGTCGCATCCAATCAGCCTCGTCCCGTCTCTTTTACTCTCTCTTTCTTTCGTTTTGCTCTCACCTCCTTGTTTGGATAAATCCTCGCGCGTATCAGGCCGCCAAACGAACGCCGATGCACGCCGTAAGGAGGAAGGTAAAAGAGGACAACGGTGCGCCTTTGAACCACGCTCACTTGTAACGACGCTTTCCCCCGAGTCGCGAAGCGGCACGAAAAACTGTTGTTATCCTTGCACAATGATGAGAACTGCTACTGACACGCGTAAAATTTGCGCAGACTCTCGGCCGAGCCCTGCTGCTGCTGCTACTGCTGCTGCTGCTGCTGCTGCTGCTGCTGCTGTCGCCGCTGCGTCCCGTATTCACGATACGTTCGTTATGTTATGGCGGTGGCCGCTCGCTCTCTCCTTACATTCAAAAGGGGAGAGAGCCACACAGAGAAAGAGAGAGAGAGAGAGAGAGAGAGAGAGAGAGAACGAGCGTGAGTAAGAACAAGAGGGAGCACGAGAGCGGCTCTGGAAGGGAGGGAGAGAGAGCGAGACAGACAGATAGACAGAGCGAGTGAGAAAGAGAGAGCGTGCGTATGAGCGAGTAAGTGTGAGCGAGAGGGGGGGGGGTACGCGGCTGGCACGATAGCCCCGTGATGAGACGCTTGACCAATTAGAAAGCGGCTTTCAAAATCCGGCAACGGGTGAGGTTATGGAAGATGAGCAGCTATTGGTTCACTGGCGAACGGCTCGACAATGGCCGCTTAGACGAGCCGTGCAAGAGCCTGCCGAGGCTCGCCGGCTACTATACTCATTACCGCTACGGAGCTTAGCCCTATAAAATCGACGGCCATCCTGGCCCTTTTCTCGTATCGCGTTTTTCTTCATACGTCGTCCAGCATCCCCGTCAAAGCCTCTTATCCTCGAATTCAGGACTCTCGCATACTCACTTCCTTCTTAATTTTCTTCCGACCGTCCTTCCTACCTTCATTCATTCCTTCCATCCTTTCTTCCTTCCTTCCTTCCTTCCTTCCGTCCCTTCCTTTCTTCCTACTTTCCTTCTTTCACTCCTTTCTCTACCGATTTCTTTCTTACTATATTATGTTTTGATGAGTGGGGGAAGGGTGGGGCGATGAGGGGGAACCTGTACACATGCCTTATCGCGACGGTATGAATATTTACGCTAGGACACGTTTTTTTCTTTCGACGCGACATGCGACTTTTGATTCCTCCAAACCCCCCCCCCTCCGCCACACACACACACACACACACACACACACACACACACTCTTGCCGCCTCAGCTGAGCTGTCGTAACTAAACATTCGTACCAGTCATAAAACTAGCGAAATCCAGAGCTTCGTTTTACAAATATGAGGGATAATGGACTTTTGAATAACGTAGACTACGAGTATTGGCGACCCATTTCTAATAGCTCGTCGATTATGTCAGACAGCGATGATGTTATTAAAGAATTCTTGCAAAATGGAAACCTGTCGTTATTGCGATTCTGAAATAAAATGTAACACATAACTTATAATACTTTATGGCAATTACAATGCGATAATTGAAATAGTAGTCCGTCATCTATCTTGTCACGTGTATAATAAAATGTGCTTGCTTGCAGTATGATAAACAATTATATTTATAAAGCAAAAAATCATTTCTCGAAAAGTTTTTGTAAATAAATACGTTAAAATAACTTTCATGCAAGGACAAAACGTAATACGATAATTTCGATGAAATCTCGTATTACTCGCCTAAAAAGATACAACTTGGAATAATCAAAACATTTTCTAAGCCAAAGCTAAACAATTTTATTTTCATGGCCAATTTCACGAAATTACGATAATCCTTACCACGAAAAAAATATATATATATACTTTTTATTTTTATTTTGTCGTCGTTGTTATTACTATAATTTTTTTTTTTAATTTTTTTTTTTTTTTTTTTTTTTTTTTTTTTTTTTTTTTTGTCATTATACATTTGGACAACGTATTTTAAATTATTGTCACGTGTACGTGTTTTCTTTTTATAGAATAGAATTAAAAAAAAAAACATACGATTAATATGTTGCATGTTTTGTCAGCTTGACAATTACAATAAGTGCGTTGATACGTTGCCTTAGTAGATTTAACAAACAACTTTTGTTTTACTCCCATTGTTATTATTTTCTTTATAAATTGAATGCAAATTCTTATTACTATCGACATTTCATTGGTGAAGCGTAAATAAAATATGTTTAGAATTTACCGAAACTGCGATGTAAGTTTAACGGTCGTAAAAAGGAAATTCCCGTCCCATTGAGTCGGATATATCTTGTAAATTGCGAAACAAACATAAAGTCGCGCATGCGCGAGCCGATCGTTTAAAACCACGAAAATCTTGTACAGACCTGCAATTTTCCTCGTCGCGCACCACGTACAACTGTAAAAGTACACTCGGTCCTACCAATTCTCTCTTCACGTGTTCATCTCCCTCTAGCGCTATATCTACCCTCTCGCTCTGCCACCTCAAAACGTATAAAATGCAAAACGCATTATCCCCCTTACCCGATCGCTCTCACTCTCACTCTCTCTCTCTCTCTCTCTCTCTCTCTCTCTCTCTCTCTCTCTCATTCCCTTTCCCCTCCTCCTCCCTACCCAACGACGATCGCCCATTCTCTTTTTCTTCTCTCTCTCTCTCTCTCTCTCTCAACCTCTCTCTCTCTCGTTCTCACCGTTTACAATCTGCCATGCGTCATCTGCACCTTGCCGAAATGCATCGGCAGACAACCCCTGTTTTCCGAGACCCTCTTTTTATCATTATTTTTTGGCTTTGTTTTTATAAACAGCCAATGATAGATGAACAAAAAATATGTTTACATATTTAAGACTGACAATGCGTTTTCATTACATGTATTTATTGGATATGTACAATAACGGTAAAGATCATTTTTTCTTCAAAGTATTAAAGAATCTTTGAAAAATAGTTTCTTCAATATTATTCGATTTATTGTAAATGCATATATAAAAATTGGAATTTGATTCATTTGAATTGTTTTCAATTGTTTTTTTAGGTAAAGCCTACTAAAATACGATCGTTATACGCGTTACTTTTGTTAACGGCAAAAGCGATGGTTTTTTTGCAAAATTATTATAATTTTTTAATAATTTAAAAAGATGTATCTACCTCCGGTTATTACCCCTATCTCGTTAATCTGTTTTAACAAAAGTTTATATATTTGAATTTAATTTTCATAAACAATAGGCCGTCCGAACGTATTAAATATGAATTAATTGTAAAAACAATTGGTATTAGAAACAATTGGTCGATAAATTCAACGATCATATTAAGAACGATGTTTTGAATATTCTTCAAGCAGAATAAATAAATTACCTATGAAGAGTTGATTTTTGTAAAGAAAATTTTTATAAAAGACAGATTCTTTTCAAGAAAGCAGGTCGCCTTTTCCCCCTTGACCTTCTCACGTTCGTTGAAACTTTTTTCTTTCATTTTTTCTTTATTCAAAGATTTTTACAGTCTTTATCTTTTTCTTCTTCTGTTTTTTTTTTTTTCTTTCTTTTTCTTTTTTACGAAAATTACGGCAATTACGGTCGTATATTTTCATGATATTTCCTTTCGGATAACATAATTTTGAGAAGCGACAGGTGATTTAAAAAACTTACCTGTATTAACGTCTCTTTTAAAATTTGCTTTGATATAAGATAGAAAGTTTTGTAAGGAAATAGGGGAATTACAAGTTTTTAAATATTTTAATAATGAAAAAAAGCCTATGAAATATTTTGTATTAAAATCTATGCGTGTATAAGTTTAGAAAGAGGTTGTGTGTGTATGCGAGAGAGAAAGAGAGAGAGAGAGAGAGAGAGAGATACGACGTTTATATAGTGTTGTTTATTGACTTATTTGTCGTCAAGTTTTTCATTTCATTGCTCTTGCCTTCAACAAGAGTCTGACGTAGTCATAAGTTGACTCAACGCGAGCCAAATGCGAAAATAATAACCATATGAATGGTAGATGTGTTGAAAGTCCATCTCGTTCGTTCTGGATAAAAATGGTATATCAATTCTCAAAAAATATCCACCTAATAAATGCTTAGGAGACGTTAGCCATACCATCGGTAAAGTTTCTTTAACTTTCATTGCTCCAACAAGTTAACTCTAACAACAAAATTAAAAATCTGACAGATAAAAAGCCTTGGCCTTAGATCGTAAGATAATTAGATGATTAAAAGCTGCTCAAACAAACACAACGATCGCTGGCCGGAGTAGCTGGAGTAAAGGGAAGAAATGGAAAAAAAAAAAAAAAAAAAAAAAAAAAAAAAAAATCTCTTTAAAGTACAGAGGCGCGGAGAAGGTATTTTAAAATTTAAAACACGTGGCTCTATTTGCGATGAGTTGATGTGCGATAAAAATGCGCGTCCCGATGAGCGTAAAAGAAAATTAATTATATAAATGAGAAAATACGCGATGCAAAGTGGTAACATAACGCAAAACACGAGAGGTTCAGAATTTTTTAAAAAGCAGGTCTACCCCGCACTCCCTTTGCTCATGATTTAAGCGCTTATGGCTGCCTCTCGCTCTCCAACACGTGTGGGTGCAAAAGCGAGAGAAGGCGAGCGATAAACGTTGTTCACGTTGTTGGTCGTGGGGTGGGCGGGCGGGGAGGGGAGTAGTCGACCTCGGCAATAATAAAGGAATTTTCCCTATCCGGGACAGCTGCAACCTGCGTAGCCTGTTGCTGTTGCTCTCTGCCTCCACCCCTCGTACCGTCGCCGCCCTCTCTTCCGCCCGGCACAGTGCTCTCGTCACCCTCCCTCGACACCCCTTCGTATTTGGGCATAAGGAGAGAGGGTGGCGCAAAAGGGGGATCTCGGGGGTTCTCGAAGGTGGGCAATTCGAGGGGCCATGCGTAGCCGGTAAGACGTCGCGCCGTTGACGACGTAGCCGAGCTCCCCTTGTCTTTGGGCCCACATTTATTATTTCCTTGGCTTCGTTCTTACTCCAATGAAGCTGACGGGAGGAACTAAACTGGACCTGGTTTTATGCGCAATTGTGAGCGGCGTAATCGATGTAATTAGATAGGGCATCGGATGGGTTGTTTTGCCTAGCGTACGACGATATCGGGCCAAGATTTAGCCTAGCGTGGGAGGGGCGGGGAGGTGTTTGCAATTTGGATTAATTAATTCTGGCTAATTATTGAGGCAATGTAAATGGAACTCGAGTAATTCCGATAAATCGTCCTCGTAATAATTAGGGCAGGCATAAAGTCACTTGCGATGCTCGATCGAGCTACTTATATCTTTGATAGTCTTATCTATTGGGAATTGCTATATGTTTCTTCTTTCTTCATTGCCTCGCTTTTCCTTTCCCTTCCCTTCTCTTTTATCACAAATCGACGGGGCTAATGACTAAATTCTCTATAAACACTCTTAAAGTATTTTATTTATTTCTGATAATGAAATGTACAGGACTAACTCTATCTCCATTTTAATTCAAGTCTTCGGAGCATCCTGCGAGGACCTAATGGCCTTTAAAGAAATATTTTTATTATCCTACCTTCCTGGGATATTTACATAGAGTAGTGTTATTTCACGAGGAGTAAGAATAATCTTAACTTAAGCTGTTTGCATTTTCTTTCTTGCAATAAGCTTGCCATATTTTTTTTTTTTTTTTTTTTGTCATATTTCACGAGTGACAATCATTATTTACCTAAATGTGTGTTAGTATGCATTTCTCGACTTGGCTAACTTTTAAATCTCGGGTTAATTTTTTATTATTATATTCTAATAATATCTGTATGGCAATGTTGCAATAATACTAAAGCTTTACTATCGTTCGTTTTTTCAGTTTGACTGGGTGTTAGCAACAATACGAAACTTGACGTTTGCCCCCAAAAAGACTTTATGGATTATCCGTTTTTATAATTTCTTATGATTTTATGACCTTACGAGGCTTTATGGCCGCCTCGATATGACTGGATATGTATGTATTGATGAAAAAAGAAATTCTTCCATCTCTTCCCCATATGCAGCATTTTATTTATTATATGGCTTACATTTATTTTTATCATTTGAATATTATTTCTTTATATTTTCTAAATATCTTCGAGATGTTGTTAATTATTAATTTCTGACTTTTAATTAAAAAAATGCTTCGAAACAATCACGTGTACCCAATGCGAATGCTATTTTCCTTATTGCAAAATCTATCTAACGAATAAGTTCATATCAATATAAGTTCAATAGCATTAATATTTTATTAAAATTATTATTTTTTTTTTTTAACACCATATTTCCAATAATTAAAGTTAAACCCGTTTCATTAATAATTTCATTGCCGTTATTTTTTTTTTTGTGTCTGATATAATTTCGTTTTAATAAATGTAAGAAAATCATAGTAAATGCAACGATTGGCGGCGTTTGCAATTAGTCGTTGTTATTGTATGTTTATTTGGTATTTGAACATTTATTGGAAACGAAAGACATCGATGATAATCAAAATATATTTTAAACCCAAAAGATTGTAAAAGAAAATGTCGATATTACGCATACAAATATATTCGAAATGCAACCTTCGTGTAAAATTAATGACAATAAGTTGTTGTTTTTTTTTTTGTTTAAATTGCCTCTAAATGTAAATAAAAAACAAACTTTTCATAATAAAGAGAAATGCCAACTTTTTAAGTAAAGATTATTATTCTTATTCCTCGTGAAAGAACACTAGTCTATGTAAATATCCCAGGAAGGTAGGATAATAAAAATATTTTTTTATTTTTCTTCTAAATCAAGAAAAAAAAAATCTGTAAAATTTCTTTCGTGATTTTGATCCTCTTTGAACACACTGCCATTACATATAATTCCGTGATATTGCGCTGTCTCCCTTTCTTCGTACATTCATTCGGAAAGAGAATCGTTGTATTTTAAAATTTAATAGCATATTAAAAATCATACTACTGATAAGATTTTTCTATCGTATAAAACGATGTTTATCTATCATTTTTACAAATTAACTCTCCGACTTTTCATTTATTTACTGAAGACAAATAAAGCGTCAATAAAGATTTGTACATTAAAAAATTATTAAACAAAATTTATATTTAATTTAATGGATCGTTCAATTTTAACATTAATTTATGACTCATGGAGCTCATTTATAATATTATAAATAATGTATTTATTATTAGTCACGATAGATAATAATTTTCCTGCATCGATAATGTAGTGGAGGAGTATATTAAAATTTTCAAATACTAACGTCGTCTATATTTCAATATTTTTATATATAAAAAAACATTTTTAATAATTGATATATTTATTTATGGTAAAATACAATATTGTATTGTCATACACAATGTTCTTAAAAATTAAGTCATGACAAAATTAAATATATTTATTAAATTTTATATATCTATGAATCTGTATGAATTAAGCATCAAAATAAAAATATGATATCCGAGTTGAAAATTCTAACAATATCATCTAATTTAAAATCATTTAATTTATATTGTATTTAATGAATATTGTTTGTCATAATAAGAAAATTCATAAAAAAAAAACTTTATCTGACGTTTCTACGACAAAAAATTAAATAATTTTATCAACGTTTTTAATTGTATGTTATCATGAAATTAGTATATGATAATAGAATTTATATCTCTAATGTCTTAATAATTTATTAAGTTCAGAAATAATACAATGAACAATTTAAAGTCGAACGAAATAAACAAGGACGAAGATAAAATTATAAAAACATTAATTAGGCTACACACACATGCGCGCGCGCGCGCGCGTATGCTAATATATTCACTTGTAAATATACGCGCGCACATTCAGGCGCACATTCGCTTACAAATGCGCGCGCGCGCACGCACACACGTTCATATATATTCAAATATAAATATGCGCGCGCACGCACGCGCGCACGCGCATGTATATATTCACTTGTAACTATACGCAAACATACGCACACGCACGCACGTATATACGCATAAAATATGCGCGCGCATACACACACACACACACACATATATATATATATGTTCACTGATAAATGCGCGCACGCGCACGCTCCTGTACGTGCAGTTACGCAAACACATATGTTTATATATTTCATTTTATACTCAGGCGAAAGCATTCAAAAGACTCCAGCCCGCAATTACGAAATTTTGCGTATAAATTTTGTACAGCTGATTCGTGTTTTGTGATGTTTTTCCAACTTTTATTCGTACGAATAACACGACACTTTGTCCGATTAGGTTAGGTCGTTTCAGTCAACGTCATAGTGTTTTCCACGACACTTATTTCTTCCGTGTATTCTAGTTTCATTGTGTTCATTGTTTGCATTTAAAAACGTTTTAGCTATCGAGTAATCATGCCATCCATAGCACTTGACATTTCTGGAGAAATTGATAATTCATACAAGAAAGATCCCCAAATAGGGAATGGGTAAATTTTTTACTAATGTTTATATATTTTGCCTTTTAGGACACATACGCCCATTTGTGTACATGCGATACAATAAGTGATTTATTGTTTTATTGTTGTATTTCTTTACGGGGCCATCGAAAGTTATACGTATACAATAATTTTTATGGAAAATATAATGAAAAAAGTTCATTTATCTTTAGAGGAATATTATTTTGGTATTGGCCATACAAATTTCATAATAATATACAAATGTCATTTTTTGTCTTGCAAATTTAAATGTAAATTGTAATATTTTTGGTTGATAATTTTGCGATGTTATGATATGCAATTACAAAATTACATTTTTCTTAAGTATATGTGTGTGCATATATACATATTAATTCAATGGATTATATAATATTAGTATAGCAAAAATATTTCTTAATAAAATTGGTATTCTATGATAATTGTATGATTTTATAATAAAAAAAATCTTTGTGATCTTAGTATAGCCTAATAGAAAGAAATTAGAAAAGTAGTGCAGATATTTTATTAGTATCGGCATTATATATTTGGATATTTCGATTAATTTGTCGTTATGTATTTTCTATAGATTTGAATTTCCTCAACTGCCACTTGTTCAACTTGGTTATCCACAAGCTCAGGAATGGATTCAACATAGAAAGGCAAATGTTAGACCGTGGTCATTATTTTTAAATACAAACAATATTAGAATTCCGCCAAACATTTCAAGACTGAGTAAACGTATTATGAAAAATATTGAATATTTCGAAACCAACTACTTTTTTGTGTTTATTGGATTAGTTATATATTGCTTGTAAGTATAATTATGTATAAGTAATTTGAACAAAGCAAAGAGCTTAGGAGTCTTTTTATTTACTTGTCTTTTAACATGGCATTGAATAATATATTGTTTTTATTAATTGAAAGGAGTAAATTGTTTAAACTGAAATATCTTCCTGTATTTACATATACGCTCCAGTCATAATTTTAAACAATTATAATCAAATCGATAACTTAAATAAGCCATAAGTTTAAAAAATAACTTTACAACATATTTTTTGAGAAACTGTTACAGTAGTGTTTTTTTATATCTTTTTAAAAATGTTTGTGAGTTCAATATTTATAAATTATGTTGTCAATTTCTTATACTATGGATATTGTTACTTTTAAATCATTATATTTTAATTTTTAGAATCACTTCGCCACTTTTACTACTAGCAGTCGCTGTTGCTCTTGGCACTTGTTATAAAGTATCTCAAATTCATGCTCGACAAGAATTAATAGTATTAAATCATAAGTTAACACTCGCTCAAGTATACGCGGTTATTGGCATTTGTTCTCTTCCACTATTTTATATTGTTGGAGCTGGAGCCGCACTATTTTGGGTATTAGGTATATATAAATATTTTATGTTATAGTAAATATTTTTTATGAATTATAGTAAGAAATTAATTTGAATTTATATGTGTTTGAACAAACAAGTTTTACTATTCAGAATGATTAAATATCAATTAAATTTTTTATTACAGGCGTTTCATGGTTTTTAATAACAATGCATGCATCATTCTACAATATCGATTCAGTGTTATGTCCTGGAGAGGATGAACTTCATTCGGTAATGCATGAAGTATAGCAAATAGATTCCTTAAATTTTTCCAACACTGTAAGCAATGACCATTAATTTGCTTATGATAGCTAACAATATAGTAAAAAGTGATGAATAACTATAAAAGTGAAGAGATGACAATTTTTGTGCAAACTTTACTGTTGTCATTAAACTGTATTAGAAATTTTTGAAGAAACAGTCAATTCAGTGAGTGATATATAATTTTGGAATAACGAGCAAGTAAAATTTATATAAAAATGCAATATGTTTGTATTGCTCACGATTGATTTGTTTAAACGCACTTTTATGAACTGTATAATAATTTACGAACTCTTAAATATATATATACATATATATATATTCAGATGCATATTTATGAAATACAAGAACTTTAAAGATTTATTTATATATACTTTTTAGTATAGAATATAAAAAATATAAATAATGTATATACTGAATTACGAGTATTTTTACAAAATTAAATAATTTTAATTGCATTATTACAACATTGTTTACATTCAACGTTTAATAGCTTAAACATTTTGCTATATTAAACATTGTATGCTTTGTTATTAGATTGCTTAAAATAATTTTATATAAAAATAATTATGTATACTCTAAATGTAGTTTGTAAAAAAAATTATTGAAATACACATTATATATTTTAATATTCGTATTAATATTTGTATAATTAATTGTTAATAATAGGTATTTTTAGACAATTTTTACGGAAAGTATATATATTTCAATATATTAATTTCAAACTGTATTACATTCAGAATTTTTATTTTATATTTCGCAACATGATATTTCCTGATTCCATGCAGAGTATAACCTCAAAATCGCCATTTTCCTTATATGTACATATTTTAAAATATACTTCTTACATAAAGTATAAACTTATTCTCTGTATGTATTATTAGAATACAATTGATGCAGTAACTATTTAAATACTATGACATATTTTTACCAAATAAAAATAATATAAAAAGTATGGCATGTGTTTTGTTATTTTTTTAATCCAAGTGATGAAATTACAGTTATGAAATTAGTCCGGTTAACACCGGTGAGTATGAACGATGATTTGCAATAAAAATAAATAAAATAGAAGAACGAAAATAAATATTCAAGTGGAAATTAAAATTATGATAAATCTAGATGTATAGGAAAAATTTTGAAAAATTGTAAAAAAGTTTTCAATTTTTGTTTTTTTTTTTATATATTTGCTAATATTAAATTTTAATTTATTATTTTCGGATATTTCTGAATTTACAATGCTATTTTTGTGCAGATAATTTTGGAAGAATCGAATGGGAGGTCGAGTGTCAAGTCGGTTATTTTTTCATCAATGAAAAGATAACGAAAATTATTAATTTTTTTCTTCTACCACTTTGAAGATTAATATTCTATTGTATATTTTTACTACACAATTATCAAAAGATAAGGTAATCGGACTACTTTTTTCTTTCTTTATTCATTATGTATGTATTTTCGTGAGAGTGAAGTTTGTGTTCCAAGTTTTATTAAGAATACAATAGTTTTAGTGATATTTATGTGTGTCGAAACGATGATAAAGTGATATCATATGATTTTGTGCTTATTTTATTATTTTTTTTAGTTCATATTTTGACAAATTTTGCAGCAAACAGACATTTAATGTTACAATCGTGCATTCAAATATAATTATTAAGCTGTATTTTGATCATTAAATAAATTAAAAATATGTGAATTTGATTATATTTTATTGTGATAAATTTTTCTAGGAGATTTTTGGCATATCGATGATATTATTTGGAATGTTAATATGAGTGAACGAGTAGATCAATCGTTTGATTCAGGTGCGCAAGAGACTGAGAGTGGTAGTTCTAACCAGTTACCCAGTACTTATTATTCAACTAGAAATAGCTTCTGTTATGATTTTAATAATTCAACTTATAAAGAAAATGATGATATTTTTTCTTTAAATTGTACACCTACAAACGGTAATCACAGGATGAGGAATGAAACGGAGGAAACAATATTAGGCGGATCCTGTGATGAACTTGGAAAATCACTCAATAGACAATCTTGCGTGGTAATTCAAATTTAAATACGTTCAATGACAACGCACATAAGAAATATTAATTGATATATTATTTTATAGCTTTCATTTTACGACGCTGTGTCCAGTTTGTATTTTCGCGATGGCATTCGTTCGATCGACTTTGTTATCGTTTGGGATGAGTTTGATCAAGAAGCATCGACATACAGATGTAACGAAATGAGAAAGGTAGGTATTTTCTAATCGTAGTATTGCAATAATAGAAATAAATTCAATATTATTATGCGTAGACTTTTGAAAGTAATTTACAAAAAGAAGGACTACATTTAGAATACGAGTGCGATGAATTTAACGGTTTGCATTTTATTAAAATTTCAACTCCTCGAGAAGTTTTAAGAAGATATTCAGAAATTTTAAAGCTCAGAATGCCAATGAAAGAGGTGAAAGGACTGAAGATACCACCAGCTCGCCAAAATCTATTTCTACAAGAAGTAAATTCATTCTTTAAAAAAATCGTGAATCGATATTACGTTAATCCGGTAATTTTTCCACCCATGAAACATAAATTTACAGCTGTCTACAGTCGCGATAAAGAGTATTTATTTGACATCGATTCACCTGACTTTTTTACGCCCGCAACTCGTTCGAGAATAGTGCAATTTGTATTGGACAGAACAAGGTTTACCGTGGATAAAGAGGATGATTTTGCATTTGGAATCGAGAGGCTTACAGCCGAGAAAGCATACTCTGCTGCATATCCATTACACGATGTAAGTTCTTTATAAAATTCATTTTTAAACGGTTCTCATACATATAATGGAATAGATAAACTTTGTGTAATTGAAACAATTAAAATACATATATATCTTTATAGTGATAAAATCAACAAGCCAACATTGTGTAATTAATCACAATAAATAGAGACACTTACTTGTACATGTATTCTTTAATTTTAAAGATCTATTGCTTAATTTAATGTCACGTGACTTTTGTTTAATCGATTTAGAAAATTAATTAATTAAGCAAATCCGATTTTATTTATAAGGATATATCAGTAATATATTAAAATTATCATGCGATTAATTTTATAAATTCATACGAATTTTAATTCTTTAATAACTAACATAATATAATAATAACTAACATTATCTAAGTGATAATAAAAACAAAATTTTTTATTAACATTGAGGTAATATAGTTTGGTAATGTGGATTAATAGAAACGTACATGTGGGCCGATATTACAATGATTAATAACCATATAATTGACAATTACCAATAAAATTAATAATATTTGCATTTTCACTTCCTTAATAGAGCTGGAATCTTTCGAGCTCAATATTCATTAACGAGTTTAAACTTTTTACTTCAATGCATAAATATTTAAAATGGCATTGTTCCAAAATCCATAAAATTTATCAATACGAAGATTTTGTTCGATAATTTAGGTATTTTAAGAGAGCTAAAATAAAACAAAACAAAAAAACAAAAAAACAAAAAAAAATAATAACATCGTAAAACCTTAATTGAAGCCAATAATAATACTAAACAATATATGCATGGAATATCTTCGTATCACAATAAATCAGATAATTTTTTTAAAAATTGCGATCTCGGCGACAAATCTATTACACAGGTAAGCCTGAATTGCTCTCAAACAAAAGCGAAAGCAGGTAAATACGCAGTCCCACGCTCAACTACACGAATTTTCAAATATGCCATACACTCACTTATTTGCTAACCATCATCAACGCGCCCCGCAGTTTTTACAGTCCTACGCTCAGCCCACCTCATTTAACATTTAAACATCGGCGAGGTCTGGAGTGATTTAACCACCCCCGCCCCTCTCTCTTTCTCTCTCTAGACCCCGCCGAACTCACCAACATCCACCTCACGTACGCGCGCGCGCGCGCACACACACACACACACACACACACAAAAGTAAGCACCATTGTCATGAATACCGGGACCGTCGTCAACTACATGCCGTCACCGGGGAGTGCCCGCCCTTTAAACGTCGTACGCGCGTTTAATACCGAATAGGCCATTCGTAAATCGCGTCACGCATCTTAATTGCCAGATTCGCAGAGGCCCATTTAGAAACGGTCGTGTCGGGCCCGATAAACAATGCCACCACCGTACATGCGCGAGGGCTCGAGGAGCAGCTCTGTCCATCCCTTTTTGGAATTAGGCCCCGACCGTCCCGGAACTTACTCTCGGCGGTCCCGTCTTACCGTCCACGTAATACTCACCCCCTACTCGAGTTGGGCGCCTCATTGCAATAAACCTGTCCCCGATTTTAAGTGGATGTGGGAAGAAGTTCGTGCGCTGGCGATGGCCCATCGTGAGCGACAAGCCAAATCCTCTTTTCGCTGGATTTGAGGTCGAGGGCGCATTAGTGCCAGGGATCGTATGTTCGAAGCTGTGACTTGGTGGTAGCCTAACGAGATCACTATCCTCGACGTTTACATACTTGCCTTTTATAATGCCCGTTGTCTAATTAATGCACGATTTAATTTTATTATTATTTTTTTGCTTTTCTGTAGAATTGTAGTTTTACGATTGGCGTGTTGTTTATTTATCGTTGAAAACCGATTTGTTTTTTCCGTTAACCAAGTCGGAAAATTCTTCCGCAGATTTTCCCAATATGTCAGCTATCGTTATTAATGAAATATCCGTCTATATCTTTTATGATGCGATAAGATTTTAGATTTATCGATATTACGACAAGAGTGTGTCTATTGGCTGTTGTATTATACATTTAAATATCAAATATTCTAACTAAAGACACTATTTTAAGATAAGATATAATAATTAAAGAAATTACGACTATCCAGCACCTTGGACATTACGAATTATCAAAATAAATATGGTAATGAGTTAAATACGAGCAAAATGGGGTAGGAGGTGGGGTGAGGGGGTCGTTCAGTCGTAATAATTGAGTAAATTTTTCTACATTGACAAAGTCAAAACTAAAGCTTAAAATTGTTAATTCGAATAATTATTGTATTTTAATTATAAATGCTTAATTTCTCTTGTTACTGTTGCAATAAATACCGTCAGCCTTATTTTTATCATTTGTAGATCAATTGTTGATTATATCGCAGCATTATAAATGAAATATGTTGTAATTAGAAATAAAATAATAAAAACAATTTTACTTCATTAGTAAGATAATTATCTTATATGAGATAATAAATGACGAAGTTGCGTTTAACGATTGCTTAGAGGATAGAAAAAATAAATTTTTAATCTACAAAATTCTATCCACGTGCGATCTTCTATCGCCATCGTTTGTTTATTTTATTAAATATTTTCTTTAAATATACAAGATTTTTGCTTACAATTTATGGTGTAAAAGAGTCATTTCACAACTATGTTTTTATTATACTTTGCTATTATATAGTTTTTTTTTTCCTTTTCCATAATAAACTATCTTGAAATATTCCCTTACAACAATTGAAAGTACAAGATGATACTTTTTCTTCTCGATGCACAAAAATAGTAATATTAAAAGATTTAGGAATTATATTAAAATGTTGTAAAAAGCGACTTTGCGATATTTGTTTGCAGATGTTGAAAAACATGTTTATCGAACACGATCATGTATACGTGAAATTCCATAACAACTTAATTTTGTATCGAAAAACATGGGTATATATCGGTATATATTTTTAATGGAAAAATAGACGCAATTTATGTTATTGTTTTATCATTAGGCCACGTTTTTCAGTAATATTTTATTACTATATCTTTATGGGATCTTACTGTTTAAAAAATATATCAAGAAAATACAGTAAGATTTTCGATATAACGTGGTTTAGGGATTATTAGAGACTCCACATTACCAGAACTTTGTAAAATATTAATTTATTCACACATCAATAATTTAAAAGATATTATTTACAATAAAATTCATTCCTTTGTTCTAGGGTACTTTAAAAACTACCGACTCAATGCGTTACCTCTTATATACAGAATGGGCAAGTGTAAAAAAGATCTTTCACTATCAACCGCTGGATTACATAAAAGAATACTTTGGAGTGAAAATTGGATTGTATTTTGCATGGTTAGGATTTTATACACACATGCTATTCCCAGCTAGTATTGTTGGATTATTATGTTTCGCTTACAGTTGGTTTACTTTGTATTCCAACGAGCCTAGTAAAGACGTTTGCACATCCAACTATACGATGTGTGCCCTGTGCGATCACTTTTGTGGAACCTGGAATCTAAGAGATACTTGCTTCCATTCTAGGGTCACTTATTTATTCGATAACCCTTCGACTGTTTTCTTCGCTGTTTTCATGTCATTATGGGGTAAGTTGCTTTTAGCTATATTGTACCTGACACTCTCTATTCCGCTAATTTACAAATTAATTTATATAGGATGTAGACAAGCGTTGTCGAACAATTAATTATATATTCGATACAATCAAATATTTTGTCAATAATTTATATCGTACAATTTGCTAACATAATTTTTCTTGATTAATTTAACTTTGTTAATTCCACAGCCTAGTGAATTAAATTTACATTATTTAGTCGATAATTACAAACATAATTAATAATGATTAATAATAATTAATAATTAATAATAATTAATAAATAATAATTAATAATTAATAATTAATAATAATAATAATAATAATAATAATAATAATAATAAATCTTAATCAATAATTAACAATTTCATGTAATTAGTCATATTTATAGTTCCCGTTTGGTCATTAATTTAAAAGTACTTTAGGACCAAGTATACAAGTTATTCTCGCACGTCAGGCTTTCAAAATTTTCAATTCTGTTTTGATCAGGATTACAAAAGTGGCTGAGTATACTTTTATTGAAACCACAGTCTGTTAAGTTTTCAAGTCCAAATACATTTTCCGGTAATTTTTCCGTTTTATTCTCCTCCGTTATTTCCGATCCGTGCTTTGCTAAGGTAAATGCATTTGTATTTGTCAATTGAGCGCAGCTTACGGAAAACTTTTCTAATTGATCACTGGTCATTAGAGAGCACAACGATGGCAAAACGTCAGGTAAAATTGGTCCAGTCAATTCTAACGAATAGAATTTTTCTTTCCCGTTGCTAACTATACTCTCTCGTACCCGTAGAGGTCTTAACGTAGCCCCGTGGAATGCAATGGGCGATAAAAGAGTTGGAGGCACTCCAGAATGAGCCCCAACGGATACTATTATTGTTTTACAATTAATCAAGAAATTAAATAACGCTTGTGCCTCCACACCAGTAACGAATATTAAGGATTCGTGTAAATTATCTACGTCACACTCTCGTCCACTTTGCACTTTAGATTGAGAGAAACTAATTTTGCGAATTTCAGACTCTTCGATGCCCACACTTTTTAACCATTTATCGTTCTGTTCATCATCGTCTGCAATGTTATTCAATTCGAAATATTCACTTTTGCGCTTAGATTTTAGTGGCATTGTGAACTGAATTTCTTCATTTTTTAACGACTCGCGCAACCCCCTTGTAGTAGGTGTTAAAAGGGCCTGTACTTCCGATATGCCACATATTCCAGCAGCACGAAACAGAACTGTAAAATTATTACCACAAACATAGAAATATGGACATTGTCTTACTCGTAATAAATGAAATAAAGAACGAAAACTACAACACCATTCTTTATAAAGTGCATCTTTCATAAATTGATTCATAGCCACGTAATTATTATTTGCAATGTTTAGTTTGCCTTGAGATCTGGGAAATAGTTCCATCCATGGTAACGAAGGATGTTGCCAAACTAAACAGCACTGGTGAAATCTGGCGTTAGGGCTAGTGTCTAAGGTCGTATGTTGTTCTCCAATATCTAAACGCCTTACAAAGCCTGTAGTACCGGATGCCTCCTCGCTCGCTTTTAACTTCCCTTTCCAAGAAAATGGTTTTGGACACATGAGTCGTAACTTGGTTTTTAAAGTCCAATCAATTGGCATGTATTTTTTTCCTCTAGGCTCTTCGATGTGCGTTCCTGAAATGGCTAATTGCAGTGAATCGGTTAAGCTACTATCTATCATAGCATTTGTCTTATAAATATCCACGTCTTTATAGCTGTTTGATGTCTGTATATTCAATAAGTCGAATGTACTATCTGCACTGACATTCTCCAAGTCAGGAGGAGACTCTTTTAGTTTTTTAGTTTGTTCTTTTTTTAAGAATGGATTTTTACGCTTTTTTTCAATCTCATAATTTGCAGTTGACAAATTATTAGGTGATAAAGTGTTGTGATTTGAGTTTCCACTGAATCTTGCTTGTAAAGCAAATTTTCGGAGTTTGAATTTATGCAATTTCATCACTTGATCTGGTCTCTTCCAATCTAATGTCTTCTCTTGCGGCATCTCCTCCATCTTGCTGCAATTAATATTCATTAAATATATTTAAAGCACCTTAAATTTTTATAATACAAGTAAACGATTTGTCACGCTCTTTATTTTTCAAGCCTCGATACTAGTCGGTAAGTTAGGTTAGCTAACGCCATGTTGTTTCATTTAAAAATTTACAAATTTCGATACTTTTGGTAGGTAAACGTGATTATTTCATCATTATAATTTTAACGACCCCCTATATAATACACATTAAGGAGTTCTTTATTGACGAATTAATAAAACTTTGAATAGTAAAAGCTTTACTTCGCATTAAACAATTGCGAGTCAATTAAATTTCTCATGCAAAAGAAATTTCTTTTTCAAACGAAAAATCTATATAAATTACAAATTAATCTTTATTTGCGGCATCAATTCATTATTTTGTTAAGTTTTTACTTGATTTTATCCTTATAATTATTATAAAATACCAATAGTTATTTGATATTTATCGATTTACGATGTGCTCGACACAAAGTGCAATTAAAAATCTGTAAATCATTCGTCGAAGCAAATAATAATAATTCAATTCATGTCAATACCGTAGCAGGCAATGTTTTAATTAATTCAATTTTTTTATTTCAATAATCATTTTACAGTAATTTAACGAGATTAGTATTTTATGTAGCATTACATGTAATTGGCATACAATTATACATAGGCATGACATTTTTGTAAAGTCAAGGATTCATTTTTAAATTTGAATATAATATTGTGCGTTAATTTTAAATATTTAGGAGGAGTTTAAAAGTACTGTGATCGTTTATAAATGAATAATAATCCTAACTAAATGACGTTCGAGCGTAGTTCGAGTTCGTGTCAATGAGTTTTTCCAGTATTTAATATTTATAAATATACTTTGGAAAAAAGGAAATATTCAAATACCATTTCTATTGCAAATGTATGATCATTTTATGTTATATATAACATATGATACGCATAACATATGAATGTTTATTGCGTATATTTAAAGAAAAAGATAAGAATGCTCGAGTAAATTAAAGAAAATTATCAATTTATAATTTGCTTCTTTCTTGTTAAAACTGTAAGCACATGTTTGACCAAAGATACCGATCTAATAGCTTTCAATTCAATACTTTTTGACGATTTTTACGGTGTGCATAATATTGTGTAAGTAATTGTAATTTGTTTATACATTTATAAATGGCAATGTTGGAGTTCAATAGAATGCTAATTTACAATTGATCGTAGCTAGTATCCTTTTAATTTATAAGAAATGCAATTTTAACGATTAAACAGGCAACTTCGCATAAAATAAATACATACGATCGATTGAATAAATTAAATATAAAATATTTTTCGTCTCTCTGTTTTCATAGCGACTCTTTTTCTGGAGTTGTGGAAAAATTATTCAGCCGAGATAACGCACAAGTGGGATTTGACTAGTCTAGATATTCAGGAAGAACATCCAAGACCAAAATACTTGGCAAGGTTGGCCCATGTTAAGAAAAAGTCTCTTAATTTTGTAACAAACACCGTGGAACCACGAGTACCATTTTGGAAAGTACGATTACCAGCCACTATTTTTAGTTGCTCGGTCGTGTTACTTCTTGTAAGTATTATTACTTATTGTAATATGTGTAAGTGGGTGAATGGCTTTTTTTTAAAATCGTCTATTACATGGTATTTTGTAATATTTTTTCCATTTATAATTCACACGCATGTCATAGAAAGTCTGTAGAGCTTTAAAAACATACTTATATCAAGAGTTTTATTTTTTGTTTTTCAAATTCTACTTCTTCTCTAATTATATATTTTGTTGTTGTTGTTTTGTTTTGTTTTTTGTTTTGTTTTTTTTGTTTTGTTTTTTTTTGTTTGTCGGAGAAGACTATTTAAATTTGGTGTTTAATTATCGACGATGATTTGCCTAAATTTTATTACTATAATTTTTTCCATTTTTGTTTTTGTTTTTGTTTTTATCTATCATCCGAAAACGTTGGCTCAAGTTAAATATAAAATTTATATTATTTTATTATCATGCTCCAGCTAGTTTGTATTTATTATTCGTATTTGAAATTTCAACGAGGCGAATTAATAAAGTAAGATTGTGTTCGATATTACAGATTATTGTAGCGATGGCTGCTGTACTAGGAGTTGTTTTATACAGAATGTCCCTTTTAACGGCTCTCTATGGTTTTTCAAATAATTCCATGGTAACAAGCTACGCTATACTTTTGACAACCGCAACAGCTGCTGCTATCAATTTATGTTGCATTGTAGTTTTTAATTGGATTTACATTTGGCTCGCGGAGTATCTGACAGAGGTAGGCAGCCGGAGGTTTATCAATGTTTTTCAAGATTTGTTACGATTGCCGTTTATTAATAGGATTACTTTTCTTTTATAGGTAGAGCTTCCTCGCACGCAAACTGAATTTGACGACAGTCTTACGTTAAAAATTTACCTATTAGAGTTCGTGAACTATTACGCATCGATTTTTTACATTGCGTTTTTTAAAGGTAAATTTATTGGATATCCGGGTAATTATAATCGCTTTTTTAATTCGCGACAGGAGGAGTGTGGCCCAGGTGGTTGTTTATTAGAATTGTGCATACAACTTGGTATAATAATGATTGGAAAGCAGGCCGTGAATTCGATATTAGAAATGTTATTTCCCTTATTTTACAAGTGGCTCAATACAATTAGGGTTCACGTTGGACTGCAGAAAACACCAACCGAAGGCAGAAATCTCTCCAGAATGCATTTGCAATGGGTCAGAGATTATAAGCTCGTGCAATGGGGCCCCAGAAGTTTATTTCCAGAATATTTAGAAATGGGTAATGATAAAGAGCTCATACGTAGACATTTATTTCATTTATTTTTGTCTAATGTTTATTTATTTTTTTTTTTTTTCTCTTCTTTCTTACAGTTTTGCAATATGGTTTTGTAACTATTTTTGTTGCCGCATTTCCACTTGCGCCACTTTTTGCTCTAATTAATAATGTTTTTGAAATGCGATTAGATGCAAAGAAGTTGCTTACGTTGTATCGCCGCCCAGTTAGTCAGAGAGTGAGAAATATCGGAGTGTGGTATCGAATTCTAGACTCAATATCAAAATTCTCTGTCATTACTAATGTAAACTTTTTATTTTTATTTTTATTGGCGCATTTCTTTTATTTTTAATGCGATTTATCGATATTGTTCTTAAACCTTCCATTTCTTGTCTTAGGCTTTCATAATTGCATTCACTTCGAACTTCATTCCAAAACTTGTCTATCAACTTGTCGTTTCAGATGATCATACCCTTAAAGGATATTTAGAAAATGCACTTTCCAAATTCAATACCAGCCATGATCCACAAAATTATGTAAACATAACAATTTGTCGATATCCCGATTACAGAGAGCCGCCTGATTCGCCCGATAAATATAATTATACAGATTTATTTTGGCATATTCTTGCGGCACGATTAGCTTTTGTCGTCGTATTCGAGGTATTTATTTCATTTTTAATTACATCGACTTTCATCATACATCATAAGATTATAATTATTATACGATTAATTTCTATTTTAGAATGTCGTGGCTTTAGTTATAATTATCGTTCGATGGTGTATTCCGGACATGAGTCCAAAGCTTCGGGATAAAATACGCAGAGAAGCATACATAACTAATGAAATTATTATACAACACGAAGCACAGCGAGTTAGTAAATTATCATCTAATGAACTTATCCGAACAGAAGAACATGATTTAGAATTAGATAATGCAAATCACTGGAGTCGAGTGTTAGAAAGTTCTTTGACGCCGTATGACTTTGACCTTGAAGTTCATGGCAGTCCAATGTCTCCAGCAATGGGTACTTCGAGTATGGGACCCGTTGAACTTTAGAATCTCAAAATAACAATACATTTAATTATTTATATGTGAAACGTATTTTTAATTACGTTACTTTCCACTAATTCGTTTTCAATGATTCATTTATTTCCGACAACTTATGTTATACATTTTCTCGTACTTCGTAATGTATAAAAATAGGTAAATAGTTTGAAAATAATTGCCAAGTAAATGATCGAGAGATATTAATAATGTTAATGGAGAATGTGGAAATGAAAAATATCGAAAGTAAAATTTAATTTAACTTTTATCGATATTAAATTTATACTTGTTGTAAAAATTTATATAAGTTATTTATATACGAATTCGTTGTAATTTGTAATATTTGTTTTAAAAACATAAGAGTTCTTTTACAAGTAAATGATTCATAAATTTAATAATTTACTTGAATATTGTTATTTAGAATCTTCCAGTGAGATTGGAGTCTGTGTTAATACGTGTAAATCAAATGGTTTGATTTAGAATTACCATATTTATTTCATAATTCTTTAAATAATGCCTGTGATTTTATATAATCTCTCTCTCTTGTTTATATGTATGTATATATATATATATATATATATATATATATATATAATTTATTTGTAATTGTAATAATTTAAAATTATGTTCAAAAGAGAAAACTGAGTTATATTGTGCCAATGTTACGTGAATAAATACTCACCTTATCTCTAATTTATTACACCAGAGTTAATGTGAATTTACCTTTTTTTTCTTCCATCTTTATATATGCCTTTCGACTATTCCAGACTTATAGCAAATACAGTATCAATTATCGAGGTGTTAAATAAATTAAATAAATTAAATCCTCACATTCATGATCGTTTAATTATCTTTAATATATATTTATAATCATTCGTATTTACATATTTTATAATTTTAATAACAAGCATTATAATAATCGTCATTATGTCTGTAACATGGATAAAAATTTGTGAACTCTACATAAAACAAGATGTCACAGATATCTGGATCATCGTTTATATTATCTTTTTCTCATATATATTTTAATAAAAATCAATCCTCAATCCTTTTTCACCTCAGCAGCATGAAAATTAATGGACGCAGAATTGATACAGAATCTCTTTTTATTTGGCTTAGGCCCGTCGTTAAATACATGGCCGAGGTGTGCTCCACAATTAGAGCAGGTCACCTCGGTCCTCACCCTTTCCAAACTCGTATCCTTAGTTAATTTAATACGGCCCTGCTCCAACACATCATTAAATGCCGGCCAGCCACACCCACTATCATACTTCGTATTTGAGGAGAACAGCTCCTGCTCACATACTATGCACGTGTAAATTCCACCTTCGTAAAATTTGTTGTAACAACCCGTGAAGGGCCGTTCCGTGCCCTTTTCCTGAGTCACGTGCCATTGCAGTGGAGTCAATCGATTCTTCAGCTCACTTTTATCAATATCTTTCGACATTTTCACCAATGTTCTAATTTTAATACTAGACGTACGCTGCTCTAGTATGGCTTTGCTAAAGGTGCGAAGCAGTAGACGTCGAGTCATCAGCTGCATCTGCTAACTATGGACTTTACTATGTCTATTTTTTTCATGAGATTAGTAAGACCAATCGTGAGTCGTGACTGTTTAAGGACTTCGTTTACCGCCTCGTCTCTAGTACCGGTGTAGTGTTCAATTTGGGCTATTTAATGTCACGTAAGAACTTCTTTCTTTTTTTCTTTCTTTGTCACAAAGCCTTCTGCTGTCTTTAGAATGATCGTAGTACTACACGAGTGAGAGATAAGATCGAAAGTCATGAGTTTCAGGTATTTACAACATTGCCCTCACACTACTTTATTGCGCCGCATATTCCTATGCACTGATCTATCTTGGTGTTGGTGGTCTAATGTTACATATTTTAATAGCGCCACGATATTTTATAGGTTAATTACTTAAGTGATTAAGATAAACGCGGACTTTTGTATTGTTTAAAAACATAAACAAAAACAAAAACAAAAACAAAAACAAAACGAAAGAACGAAAAAACGAAAAAACGAAAAAACAAAAAAACAAAAAAAACAAAAAAAAAACAACAAAGAGAAATCAATAATAACAAGAATAGTCATTGGCAAACCCCTGTAATTCTTTGGAATATTCTTTAAAGTAAAAAACAAAAGGCAAGCAGCAAGACAACAAGGAAAATGAAATAATATTATTTTACTTGGTAAGTTAATAGGAAGAAACTTAATATAATATAATTGTTTAAATTGTGATTTAAAGCAACATTTAACTTTTATCTATAATTTAACTATCTTGATTTAAGTTAAAATTACTTCAATTTATTAATTGGTTAAACATGGCTGAAGATTATATACCTATTAAACGACCAAAGCCAGGAGATGGCGAAGAAGAAATTTTACAAATGCAAGAAGAATTTATGCAGAATAAATTGTCCCCCTGTGCTAAAGTTATTAATTTACGAACGGAATATCAAAAAGAAAATCTGCAAGCTAAAAAAGAATCAAAATTTGCGAAAAATAGAGGTGTCGAGGCTCAAAATAAAAGAATATCAACCAATCAAGGGTATGAGGATTTTACTAATGTCGATACAGGTAACTATATAATTTTTCATTTCTTAAATTTCTTAAATCAATTGATAATAATGTTTCTGTTTAAGATTTGGATAACTCCAAACAATGCGAAGAAAATAACTTTGATCCTATCCATAATTATCTAAAATTATCATCTCATATAATTTTGGGTAATGTTGTCGAACGAAAATTAAACGTAACAAAATTTAATTTCAAAATAGACGAAAAAGTAAAGGAAAGTTTAAAAGTTGGATTTCCAACTGTATTTGAGGTTTCCGAAACGGTAATTTTTAGCAATTATACGATTAACAGGACTGCTGTAAACAAAATCAATTTCTCTCAATTTTTCCCAATCGCTCTTAATCCTCCATTGTAATGTTTCAAATAAAAGCTAGTTCAATTAAACCAGCTTTTAGCTTCCGATAGAAAATATAACTATCATTGTGTCATTTGATCAGTAACTTACTAATTTAAATACTAATTATGAAATAATAATATTCCCTTTTTTAACAATTTCATTTAGCTTTTTTAAATTGAATATTCTCATTACTAAAGCATTAAAAAGAAATTAACATGTAATTTAAAGATCTCTCCTTATAATTGATTAATATTACAAATTTTAATGCAAAATTATATATCAAAGTTAGAAGACGCAGATTCTACAGAAAGTCTTTTCAAGTGTGCTACATCCAAGCAGTATTCAAAAAGTTCAATATACCCTGCCAATGCCAAAGCAGATACAGCGCAAACAAATTCAAATATTAGTCCTGTAATGGTCACTGGCTCACTAGCTAATGAAATTCATCGAGAGAATATGGAAAAATTGAAACAAATGAGCAACGATGAAATAATGTTAGAAAAGGGAAATCTTGAAACCATGCTAGACCCTAGTACAATAGCCTTTATAAAATCAATGAAAGATACAAAAGATAAAACAAAAACTAAATTACTCGAAGTTTGTAAAAATAGATTGGTCGATAATAAAAAAATTAAATTAGTTGAAGGTACAGTGCGCGATGCCTCTCAAGAATTTGAAAATCCTAAAATGGAAGTAGATGACGAAAGTATCGCCAAAGCTTCAATAAACGAAGATATCAAACAAAAGAATTTTAAAATGGAGACAGATTTTACAAGTTTAGATAAAGAATTACCCGAACCTGTAGTGGATATAGTTAAAACTGCAGAGAAAAGTGGCTGGGTACATATGGATGACTTAGAGCCAGAGAAGGTAAAATGGATGCAAGATTTGACAGAAAACGAAGACACAAAATTGCCCGAAGAACCATACAATGCTCGCTTCGATTTTAACGGTAAGAGATCAAATTTAAATTATACGTCGATTACAATTTTTTTCATTCTTTGAAAATTTAAATTTTAAAAATATTCCTATTGGTTTGGACTAAAAAGACCAAAATTTTAAATGTTTAGAATATAGAAATAAGCGATTCTATTAATGAAAATTATTACTTTCAAAAACGGTAATAAATATGAATTTCGGGACGATACAATCATTAGCTAATTTAACATAAGTTTCTATAAGAGGAAAGAATAGATTCGTAATGTTTAAATAATTAATACCAAATAATTAAAAAGCTAAAAAAATAAGAATAATAATTAATTTTGTATTATTTTCAAATTATGAATTAAAAGTAATAGCGGAACTTGTAGCAAAAATGCATACTATTAAAAAAAGAAAGAGGATTTTCACAATCCAAGCTACTCAGTAACAATCACATTAAATAGCTTTAAAAAAATAATTGCTCTATCATTGGGTCAATATTCTATGCTTATTTTATACTTTCTAAATACATAATTAAGAAAGAGGCTCTAATGAAATGAATTTCATCAGGAATACTGATGCCCTATAAAGACGAAATTCTCACTGTGGACAAAGGTCTTCATCACCACGGCGAGGAGCCCAATAGACCTGGTTATTCTGTCCAAGAGCTGTTGCAACTCAGCCGCTCGTTCACCCAACAGCAGCGCTGCACAGCTCTTACGACTTTAGCCAATATTATGGAGAAGACCCATCAGGGTTGGTACGACCGTGCCTTGAAGCCACCTCTTCTCGAAACTTTAAATCAGGTGAAAAGGGCTCTCTCGCCTATTTGTCATTAACTTTCCAATACGACTTTGAAGCTCGTTTATTTTTATTTGACTTTGATGTGGTGTTTTTCTTTTTCTTTAATTTCGTTTTTTCGTTCTTTCTTTCTTTCTTTTTTTCTTTATTTTTTTTTTTGTCAAATAATGTTATCGGTATTCGTCTTTGCATGATTTTGTATAATTAATCATTATTATCCGTTTTAAAACTTACGTTGAAATGATAAATTATCTCCTCGAATATTGCCTTCATTTGTTCAGGTTTTATTTTTGTCTCAGCTTATATAAAAATACTCATTTACACACACGCACACGCAAAAAAAAATATCGCTCAACTGTAACATGACACGAAAATTTATATTTTATATACTATATATGAAATATATAGCACGAAAGGGTATATTAATATTGCAGAAAAAAATGGGAAAAAGGAAGGATTTATAAGCCTTAAAAATTAATTATTAAAATGAATATTGACATTTAGTAAAGCTTTAATCAACTCAAGCTATAAAATATTTATTTTACAAAATTATGTTTTTCTTTTACGATTTAAAATACTATGTATATAAAAATTTATTGGAATTAAAATACAAAATTTATACGTATCTTTATTATTACGGATTAAAGCAAATATATGTTATTAATATTTGTATGTATGTATATACAAATTTATTAATTAGTAATTAATTAGAGATTTGAATTATGGTTGAGTAAGCAATTACTAAAAAAAAAAAAAAAAAAAAAAAAAAAAAAAAAAAAATATTGTAAATACAAATATTCTTTATGCTATGTAGTTCAATAATTTAATTGTTCATATGTAATTATATCAATTACTATAACTACCGAAATATAATTATAAATGTAATTGTACATTATCGTGTATTTTTACATGGCTAAAAAGAGGAATATTTTGCTGCTCTTGAGATTTTCACTCGATGATACTGCACTTCCCGTAATTACAGCGAGTCTTCAAGCTATAAGAGGTTTTTTATTTTGTGAGACTGACGAACTGTGTCTCGATAAAATGTTTGGAATTGATAATTTTGTGGAACCAATGATGAAACCATCGATGAAGGATGTGGATAATATCGATGCGTTAAAGGATTATGAATTGGCGCAATTGGATACGGTTGCCGTCCTTGTACGAACTGACATTGTTTTAAGAATAAGGTACAATGAAATGTATAAAAATTACAATAAATTTTATGATAAAAAAAAAAAACAAACGATTAATCACATTTTCTCTGAAAAATTAGATAATTGGTTTGGACAAATATTATTGAATTATGGGGTGGGAATATGCTTGTAAAGGAAGCTTTGCAAGAAATTACATTTTATTACGAATAATTTTAATATCGATAAATACATTTGATTTTATTATTAACTTTATTGGGATTTTGTATCGCTTAATCTAGTCTCAATACTAAAGACTTTGGTACTTCTTTTTTTTTTTAATATTCTACATTTGAGGAATATCTTTATATATATGTATATATATATTTTTTTTTTATATATTTTATATATTTTGTATGTATATATTATTTTTATTACATTTGCAAAGTCGCACGCGTATTAAATTAATGAACTTGTCATTATTGACGATAAAAATATTTATTATAAAATTGCATTATAGGATCAATGAATTTATTTATAATAAATTTTAGATACATAATGAGTGAAGTCCAATTATCGCCCGTAGGTATGACGTCAGCTTTGGAAATATTAGCAAGACTTGCCAGACATTCCCAAGCAGTAGCATCCAATATTGCTTGTACACCAAATTTACTTAATTATATTGTTAAAAAATGCATCCCACTTTCTATGAACAAATCAGGTTTATTGATAATTATATGCGTTAAATTGCATTATTTGCTATTAATTGAATTTTTATTAATATAATTAATTTTTAGAATTCAATCGTGACTCTAGTAAAGCATACAAATGCCCTTTAGTGGCGGCTGTACGTTTGTGTCGAATTTTAATTACCTACGCTGGGCTCCACGTGGCTGTGATTTTAAAAGATTTACGCATCATACATTCGTTATTGACTTATATTTGTAGCGATGCAAGGTAATTGTAATTTAAAAGGTTATCAATGATTTTACAGTAATTGCCGAAGATTTACAGAATCACTAAGTATTTTATTAACGATATTATGAGATTGATGCATAAGCACGTCAATTTATCAAATTTTCTTTAACATAATAATTGATATTTCATTTATTGATCTATAATTATAGTAGGCAAGAGGTGCGTCTGCACATAGAGAGCTTAAGATTATGGAGATTATTTTTACATTATGATATTGAGAAAGATAGCATTATCGGGGCGAGACTCACTTTAATATCACAATTGAGACTCTTGGCGACTACTCTCGACATCGATGTCGCATCTCCATTAACGTGTGATTATGCCGCAGCTCTGATCGCCATTGCTAAATATGACGAACCATTAAAGCAACACGTTGCAGTCCTCTTGGCTAAATGGAGTACGCAGTTGTCGACGATTTCGATGCCAAATGTAAAGTTTTTATTCTCAAGTTGTATGAGAATTAAATAATATAAGCCTGTCGTATTTTCAGTGGAATAATACGGTTTTAATTGCCGAGACGTTGAGGACACTTGGGGATGTTTCTTCGTTCCAACGAAATTGGATAACAAATTCTAGAATATTTATGCAATTGAGGTATTTATTAATTCATTTGTTTATTAATTTTTTTTTTTTTTATTTTTTTTTTTATACACACGAGCAAAACCACTACTTCTTTATTATTATTGGCACACACATTTGCTTGTAACAATTTAGGGGATCGGATATTTATAATTTCATGCAATAATAGGATGCAATTTTTCACAGATAATATAGAGTTTGAATTACACAAATACAAAGAACATTAAGTTTTTTTTTTTTTTTTTTTTTTTTTTTTTGTAAAATTAACGTAACGTAACCTGTGCTTCTTGCAGTTCGTTTTCAAATTTATTATGCGGCCTTGAGAATGCAACCGATCGGGATCCATCATCCCTTCCAACTCTCGGCTCCATGACTTACGAGGGAAAATTACAACCGATTTTATCAATTAATTCAATTATTATATTTTTAAAAACGACTCTCGAATGCTTACTAAAGCATAATTGCAGTCAGGATATCGAACGCATACTCAGAAATACGAACGTCCAAAACTATTTACAGAGATTAAAAAATAGCGAGTGGTCGCTCGAGAGGTCCTGGTACACTCGCCCGGAGTACTCACTTTTGATAACAATAATCAAGGCTGAAAATCATCTGAATGCCATTATGAAAGGGCAGGTAAGCATTATTATTAAACAGAAAAGCTAGCAAATGCATTGATTTTACGAATGCCTAAATATTATATGGATCTTTGTTAAAAAGCTAAGCGATACTGTCTGGAAAATAGCCATAAAGCTCATTTCCGCTTTGCCGGCGGACTGCACCGATAGCACCATAGAAGTTCTCAACTTCAGCCTTGCTCCTGAGAGAATTAATTTAAGATTCCTCGAGAGTGGTCTGGAGAAACTTGAACTGAGCGACAATTACAAAAGGAGGGAAAATCTAGACAATTCTAGCATTGTCGTCGAGTTTTACATAAGGTTTTTGAGCATAAACGGAAGCTGGCACGAGGCGGGTATGCCTAAAGATTGGCTGTATCTGCCTCTCGTAGATTATTACACGCGGCTTAAGAGTAAACAGCCCAAGCAGTCCTCGGACACTCTTGAGCCTATTGAAATTTTGACCTTATTGAAGCTTGAACTGATAATGCCGGAATTGACGCAAAATCTTACGCCCAACTTGAGGTTCAGTAGGATGCTTCTATTGTACCTGTGCGAAACTACTTTCGTCCATCCACCGGAGTCCGAATTGCCGGAGAAAATTATTAGTCTATTAGGTAAGCATTATATATGCATCTCCGTTTCTTACATTTTCAAGCACATCGGTGATTTTTCACTTTGCCCCATTATCTTATTTATAATTCGACGCTTTGTCTTTCATGGTCGTTCAGTGCGAGGGAATTACAAGAAATTCGATTTGTCCAGCGAAGTGCCAGGTTTGAGTTCCTTCACCGATCTCTTTACTGCCCTCTGCGAAAATTTTTTGGCAAACTCTTACGGTCAGGACTGTTTCGCACAGATCGTCCTCGTCTTCGTCGCCCAACGATACGAGGTTCACTACCGAAAGTTGCTTTGGTCCGAGCATGCGGGGGTATTGCAGTACTGCCGACTCACTCCCGATAAGCTACTCATCCCTTACGAGGAATATCTTTATCCGGTGGAGATTGACACCTCCCTCATCGAGGCTTATATTACGGCCTTGGTGAGGGAGAGTGTACGCTACAGCCATTCGCCTGTTTTGTACAATATAGCGCTTCATCACTCAGCCATGTATTTGAAGGAAACGTCAAAATTGGCCGTCCTAATGAGATCGAGGATCGGCAGGTTGATGAATCAAGCGAGAACGAGAGTCCTGGCTGAGAAATTACTTAATTACGAACCTTCCGTGAAGGCAGGAGACTAATATTTTTAGGACGGAGCCTACTCGTTGAAAGACTTTGCTTAGATTTAAGAGCGTGATAAGCCAATAATAGTATTCAAATATTAATCTTCTTTTTCTCTTTTCTTTTATCGAAAGTCATATAATAATTGTTTCGTTAATTTTTTGTAAAAACATTGCCAAATGAATTGTGAAGTTTAATTCCCATATTTATGATATTGTGATTATTATGTATGTTATTGAAATATATTTTGCAGATATTTTTCTAATTTTTTTTTTTTTTTTTTTTTTTTTTTTATATGATAATGATAATATTAAATGTCGAATTATTCGGGTGAGAAGTGCACACATCGAGTGATATGATTATAAATGTCTGAAAGTCGAGATGCAAATAAAATGTAATAAAGAAAATAAGAAAGCTCGCGCGACTGATAGGGATTATATTAATATTTTAGCTAAATAATAGATGCATTTCTCGATCAAATTGCATCTAATGTTTTTCATTAATATATTATTGCCAAAATTATTACAAATAATATAAATATTCATAATTATAGATTAACGATCTGTTGTATACTTTGTAGAAACAGAAATAGAAGGGGAAAAATGGACGCAGAAGATTTTTCAAGTAACATTTTATTCAAACAGTAGGACTTTAATATAAAATAGATTCTTTCTTCTCTTGAATTGCGAGCATAGAAAATACACAAAATAATGACCGATATTTTATTATATCTATACTTTGAAGAATTTATAACTCTTACAAATTATCAACCGACGGTGTAAAAGTGCATTGTTCTGAGGCAAACGAGTGAATGAAAAAACTCAAGCCCTTCCAGAATTTCTAATATAAAATACACATTTAAATAAACGAACGTTTGAAATAATTAATTGAACGAAAATATTATTGATTACTTCTTTTGCTTTATTACATAGTGCGTTCTTTTTACAATTTAGCTTAACGAATAATATCATTTTCACAACGATATACGCATTTACATGTTTTTTGTATGTATTTATATGTAAAACTGCCGTTAAGGCTAAATTTACAGTAATTTATATTGATATAAAAGTTATTATTCCCACTACTAATACTACGAACAAAAAAATATAAGTCTACGATGAATTCGTTACTTACTCTATCGTAGATAATAAACAAAACTTTTTACTACAGCTTTTTATGCACAAACTTTGTGCGCTAAACGTCAAGATTTCGGCAGTATTTAAATGATAAATTAATTACCGCTGAAATATTGTCAATTCTAAAGAAATAATATCGCAAAACGAACAACAATTCATTGGCAGCGCTCAAAAATATTGCCAAAGGATAATCGAATGGATACATTTAAAAAAAAAAAAAAAAAAAAAACTGTTATTATTTCTATGTATTTTTAAAAAATCTTTATTAACAGCATTAAGTACAATGTAAGAGATCTTTCTATTTAATTATTTGATAAAGAGAAGTTAATTATTTTAATAAATTAAACGAATGGATATATAAAGTATGTGTACATTTAATCTATAATTAGTTTATTATATTTATGCAGCTATTATTTTTAGAATAAATTTACGTTGATACCATTTTTAATTTAAGCAGATTTTTTCTATTTTTAAATATATAAAATTATAAACAGATATAAGTAATATCGCATAAGATCAACACTTTTTAAATTTTTATATTTATTTTGTTTACAATGCATTAGTTATGAGAGAAAGAAAAACGATTGGAGATTAAATATTTAATAGATAGAAAAAACTTTCGGGCGACTAATTCTTTAGTAAAGCACGTAAACTCCACAAGTATTTTTTTCGTATTATTCGACTTCTTATGACTTATGTGCCCCATATCTCGTACATTTTTCATCATGGAATGTTACGAGAACTTCTTTATTGCTCTGCTTGTTGAAACAATCGATCCTCCAAATAGTCCTCCGCCCACACACATGATCGACAGCTCGTCGATTTCTTCAATCGGTTTTCATTCGTTGCATATATAAATGCAAAAACTTGAGAAAATACTCGATCGCAGAAACTTTTTTAACGAAAAAGTGTTACAGTGTTACATTATTATGGCAATATATCAGCGATTTTTAAGAATGTTTATATTTATATAAATTGTTCGAGGTATATTGTATAAAGAGTTGATGCTAAATTTTGAAGAAAAAATAATAATTCATAAGTCGAGCAATGAGAGCTTGTCGACGATTTAGATTATCACACGTCAAGAGATAATATTGCAATGGATAAAGTAAAGTTTATAAAAATTATTATTTGATTAAATTGTAGTAAAGTATTTAAAAGTTGCGTAATTATTACAAAATATATACAATTATTTGATAATTGAAAATTTGACCGAATTAAATATTATGATGATCTTCTCGTTATTTCGTTATTTATATATGAACATTGTTTGTTGTTTTAAAGGTATTTTTTTTTTTTTATCATTTTAAAATAAGTTAAAAATCAATTTAAGTTTATGGGCAGTTAAAACATATAATAATGAAAGAAATGATTTTCTTTTATCTCCATAATGTATATCTAAATTAATGATTGAACGAGCGAGGTAAATGATTTTTTTTAATGATTACATTGCGTTTAATCGATGATTTAAATTCAAAATTTTTTACAGTGATAATCGATAAGCAAAGTTTAACAATCTGCAGTTATGGAATATTTATCGGTATTATCGTGTTGCAATATTTATTCTAATATTTATTGATCTTAATGATTATTGTTACTTTATAAAAAGAAGGATTTTATTATGTATGATGGAATTATAAGTTTAAAAAGTAAACGATAATGTGTTTGATAGTGATTATAATTTGAAAATTGGAAGAAATTATTTTTAAATACAAATTTTCGTATTTTTTCATTTTTTCACGAATAGATAATTTTTAGTAACTAACTAGTAATTTTTAGTAGTTAACTAGTATTGATTATTATTTTTATTGATCATTGTTTAGTAATAATTGTTTTATTTGCTGTTAATTTATGAGCGAAAGGAAGAGTAATTAATGCAGGTATAAGAGTAATGTGCTTTAAACGAGTAAAGACAATTTACGTAACTAAGCACGAACACGCAAGGTTTTTTTTTTTTTTTTTATGTAAACAATGAATCGTCGAAAGGACAATAATGATAAATTTATATTCGAATGCAATCGATTATTCAATCGGATAAATTATTTTCCCGCGTAATAAAATAATATTGTGTATTGATTTAATTTTGTATTACGCTAGATATAATGTAGCATTTGTTATCATTTTATTTTAGAAACTTGAATTTTTCTTACAAATACGTTAATACATTAATAAATATTCGATTGAAATAACGATTTAACAGATTTTCTTTAAAGATTTCAAATACATTTATTAATAGAATTTGGTAACGAAGCACGGCGGATTATTGAATTAATTTTGTAATAAAAATGTGTTTAATCGTATATACGTAAATAAAAAGGTAATATTATATAGACGAGTAATTTAAAATCTTTTTTCATGTGGATATTTAAACGGGGTAAAAGAATTGATTTTTGTTTACTTAAAAATACAATCAAATTTTTAAGAGTTGGAAAATCCAGTAGCGCCAAAATTATTTGAACACGTTACTAATTACGTAAATAAAAGATCATTCAAATATATTAATAAATAATATTTTATCGATCGATGTAAAAAGTAATATTTAACGCTTGGATTGGCAAACTTTTATGAAGAAACGCAGCTTTTTCAATGCCGTCGCACAATAGCCAACCATTTTTCGCATTTAAACGTATGTTTATAATTAAAAAGAAATATCCTTAAAGTTGCATAGGACCAGAATCTCTTTGGCTCATTTGCGTAGCGCAGTTCCACAGCACCGCAATGCTTCAAATTTCGAAGCAACTGTGCATAAAGAATGATCGACAAGGCAATTGGCCACGGGGGTCGTTGATCGCGTCAATCGTCCAAAACAAGTGAGAATCCTCGTTTAGAGTAGGCTAGAGACGCGCGACACGACACTAACGTCTTCTTCAGGGTTATTGCGTTCGCCCTGTCGTTCGTCATCGACTGTGGGAGGGTAGCGGAGGCGGGAGGGCTATGCCACTCGTAGCGCTTAGGGGAATGGGACGGAGCTTTTGCGCTACTCGTAGGTTTCTTATGGATACTTATAAGTCGATATTATTGGATTGCATTTTAATTAGGGATCGCTTCAGCGTTTTAGCCTCCTCTTGCGTTTACGCATCTTTGTGCGTCTTTATCTTTCTCTTCGATTATCAAATACATCTTTTAGCAGTAGTGACTTTGCAAGGAGGTTGCCATTGGGACTGATTTATTGGCAGTTACGATTGAAAAATATTGATATTTGCTATAAGTTGCGATTGAGTTGAAGTGCTGAGCTTTGCGATTGGCTACGGCTAGGGAAAAAAGCTGTCCCGTTTTATCATACATTTTATAAAGTGAAATGAGCGAAGGCAATTTTTGGATAATAAGCATGTACGTGCGAATAGGTACATTTAGGTTTGGTATTATTACACATTGAGCGAGAGGTGTAGTGTGAAGCGTAGGCGTCGTG